CCGAGAAACGAAGTTGAACGATCAAAGTTTCGCGAACGCCTCGAACTAGAAAACACGAATGTTGTCGTCGAGACTGGACAAGATCCTCCCGTGGATCTGCGTCAAGACCGATTTCTTCAACTGCCGACGACGAGACCGAGCCGGCGTTATTGTTATTATCGAGCAGAATCGCTTCGAATCGTTTCTGCGAGCATTCAATTGCGCGGCCGGCGGCGCGTCGGTGTCCGAAAAAGCGAGCCAGAATGAGAAAAAGAGCGACGCGCGGTCGGGGCCAGGGAAAAAAACGACCGGGCAACACTTGCCGGGGTAATAAAACAATAACTGCTAATAAAACGCAATTGTTCGTGGCGCGGAAGTAATGGAGGCATCTCGAAGAGGCCAATCAGACCGGCGATCCATCTGGTCGCGCGATGAAACGATAAAAGGTACCACCGGCATACTTCTTTCTCGAGCAGCTCGCACGAGTAATCCGTACTGTTATTGATGCCGTTATGCGCCGCGGCCGCACACATAATCGATAAAAGCCGGACCAACGGGGGAAAAAGAACGGAACACGACCGAGGAGACTCGGTCGCGGACTGTTAAGCGGAAAATCGGCTCCTCTCCCGGCGTCCATCTGGGAACGATTCGAGCGTGGATCCGCGGCCTCGGCTAATTTCTGCGACTCGCTTCCGGTAGAAATCTGATCGGTACACGCGGAAACAATGAGTTCTCACTTTCGAGGCATCTCTCGGAAAACTCGATTCATTCTCGATTGTTCGCGGCGCTCGTTAATACTCCCCGGATATTTCTACAAAATATTTACTAATTAGGGAAAATGTGCTTCCAGCTTCGTTTACGGGCAACAGCCTATCCAGGGTTGATTATCGCCGTGATTTATTCGTGATTTACGTCGACGAGAAGAATGCATTCTTTCGCGGCGGATAATTATCCGGATAGTAGTGAACAAAATATTTACGAACTAATTAGAGAGAAGATGCTTCGGCGTTCGATTATGTGCCGATTACAATGAAATTTATTCACGACTCGCGTTAACACTTCGGCCGATTGTCGTTCATACAAGAGTGACGGAATTAATTGCTCAGATTTGAAAATTCATTTTTACGTTATTCTATTACAATTCGATAGAATAACTAATCTAATTCGGTCTAATTCGGTCAGGGTCCGTAGCACGTAAGAATATTGTGAAAGTAATCGATGTCATCGTTACACAATTAATGCAGCAAACGCGGAGGAGGGATGAATCGACCGAGTCACTGCCGAAGTCGACAGCCCGTTGGGAGCCACTGGCACGAAGCGTAAATAAGCCCGTCATCGACAGCTCTTTCACTGTCAATGCTCTTCCGTATCGGAAGGCGCAGGGGAAGAGAAAAGTGTTGCCGAAGAACGGGTAGGAAAGGCCTGGCAGCGGCAGACATGTCGGGACTGTTCGACGATGACGAACGCCTCGCTATCAACTTCCTGTTAGAATTGATATAGATGCACGCGGGCGCTCTCTCTCTCTCTCTCTCTCTCTCTGCTCCTATGTTAACGCGACGAAAGGGTCATTGATCCGGATAAGTTCAGCTATCGCGTTTTTCAATGAATATCGTTCCCGCGTGGGAATTCGGGAACAAGCAGCTGCTCGGAAACGGCGATTCTGTGCCAAAATTTCGACTTTTTCCCAATATTTTCGTCGGCCATGACAATGCGCGAATTGAATGTCCGGACGTTCCGCGGTGTTAACGTCCGTCCGCGCTCGGCATTCTATTTCCGTCGCCGCGGCTCTTATTTTAATGTTTTAGCAACCGTTCCGAATGTTTGGAGCTAGAATAAAATTTGTACGGCTTGCCGAGAGTTCTGGATAGATTATCATTGATTCGAGGAGATTTTAACGTTTTCCGAGAACGATGATCGGTCGGCGAGGATGGAGGGAAAGGCCGTTTTCATTTAAATCGGAGGAGAGTGCTGTAACCGATTACTGCTGTCCAATTGAATTTCAAAGTTAAATAGTAGAGGTCTGCGTAACGGCCGGGTTATAGAAAATGTAGTTATGCAATTTAATAGATCGTCGCTTTAAAATGGAACGATTTTAGAGGTATACTGTTCACCGACCGCCTTTCACTAGACGATAAAAACCAGATTTTCGTGGAACGCATTCGTCGCGATCATAAAGTTATCGCTGACAATACGAAAGGAATGTGTCCCTTCCATCGATGGTTGGGGGCTTTTACCATAACTCAACCCGTAGGAACGATTAGGAGTTCGATGAAGGGATCTTTAAGGGGAAAAAACGGAAATCACCTGGAGACAATCGCTTTCCGTATCCGATTCAACTAATTCAGAAATTCGGACTTCTCTTTGCTCTCGGAATTTGTCGAAATTTGCAAAGCTGATCGATTTTAAATGCGCTGCGGTACTGGAAAATTAGCACAAGTGCGACGAAGCTGACTCGTCCTCGAGCAACAAATATGGCGGGGATGTTTTGGTGTCGGCCCGCTCGGTACCTTCGTAACACCGATGGAAAAATAGCTTGGTCTTTCTGTAAAGAATATTTCTACGCTGACTGAATCGCGGTGCAGAAGAAAAAAAAATAAAAATCTTGCAGTATTACCGTCGGTGACGGTACGCAAGGTTACCAGGTAAAAGTTACCACGGGGATAGTTCTACGAAGTCGCGTTTCTAGCCATCCGTAAATCGACTCCGATAAAATTCATTACCGTGCATTGAAAACAAATGAAAAACGCGGCGGCAGCGTCGACGATCTCTCGAACCTACAATTAACGNGGCCGATTGTCGTTCATACAAGAGTGACGGAATTAATTGCTCAGATTTGAAAATTCATTTTTACGTTATTCTATTACAATTCGATAGAATAACTAATCTAATTCGGTCTAATTCGGTCAGGGTCCGTAGCACGTAAGAATATTGTGAAAGTAATCGATGTCATCGTTACACAATTAATGCAGCAAACGCGGAGGAGGGATGAATCGACCGAGTCACTGCCGAAGTCGACAGCCCGTTGGGAGCCACTGGCACGAAGCGTAAATAAGCCCGTCATCGACAGCTCTTTCACTGTCAATGCTCTTCCGTATCGGAAGGCGCAGGGGAAGAGAAAAGTGTTGCCGAAGAACGGGTAGGAAAGGCCTGGCAGCGGCAGACATGTCGGGACTGTTCGACGATGACGAACGCCTCGCTATCAACTTCCTGTTAGAATTGATATAGATGCACGCGGGCGCTCTCTCTCTCTCTCTCTCTCTCTCTGCTCCTATGTTAACGCGACGAAAGGGTCATTGATCCGGATAAGTTCAGCTATCGCGTTTTTCAATGAATATCGTTCCCGCGTGGGAATTCGGGAACAAGCAGCTGCTCGGAAACGGCGATTCTGTGCCAAAATTTCGACTTTTTCCCAATATTTTCGTCGGCCATGACAATGCGCGAATTGAATGTCCGGACGTTCCGCGGTGTTAACGTCCGTCCGCGCTCGGCATTCTATTTCCGTCGCCGCGGCTCTTATTTTAATGTTTTAGCAACCGTTCCGAATGTTTGGAGCTAGAATAAAATTTGTACGGCTTGCCGAGAGTTCTGGATAGATTATCATTGATTCGAGGAGATTTTAACGTTTTCCGAGAACGATGATCGGTCGGCGAGGATGGAGGGAAAGGCCGTTTTCATTTAAATCGGAGGAGAGTGCTGTAACCGATTACTGCTGTCCAATTGAATTTCAAAGTTAAATAGTAGAGGTCTGCGTAACGGCCGGGTTATAGAAAATGTAGTTATGCAATTTAATAGATCGTCGCTTTAAAATGGAACGATTTTAGAGGTATACTGTTCACCGACCGCCTTTCACTAGACGATAAAAACCAGATTTTCGTGGAACGCATTCGTCGCGATCATAAAGTTATCGCTGACAATACGAAAGGAATGTGTCCCTTCCATCGATGGTTGGGGGCTTTTACCATAACTCAACCCGTAGGAACGATTAGGAGTTCGATGAAGGGATCTTTAAGGGGAAAAAACGGAAATCACCTGGAGACAATCGCTTTCCGTATCCGATTCAACTAATTCAGAAATTCGGACTTCTCTTTGCTCTCGGAATTTGTCGAAATTTGCAAAGCTGATCGATTTTAAATGCGCTGCGGTACTGGAAAATTAGCACAAGTGCGACGAAGCTGACTCGTCCTCGAGCAACAAATATGGCGGGGATGTTTTGGTGTCGGCCCGCTCGGTACCTTCGTAACACCGATGGAAAAATAGCTTGGTCTTTCTGTAAAGAATATTTCTACGCTGACTGAATCGCGGTGCAGAAGAAAAAAAAATAAAAATCTTGCAGTATTACCGTCGGTGACGGTACGCAAGGTTACCAGGTAAAAGTTACCACGGGGATAGTTCTACGAAGTCGCGTTTCTAGCCATCCGTAAATCGACTCCGATAAAATTCATTACCGTGCATTGAAAACAAATGAAAAACGCGGCGGCAGCGTCGACGATCTCTCGAACCTACAATTAACGAAACGAGAAAAATTCTTCCTCTTCTTCCTCTTCCTTTTAACATCGGCGAGGCTCGCTTCCGGCCCCTGTCTAAACAAAACTCAATTCGCCAAAACATTAGAAAATTTCTGATATTATCTACGCTGGTCGAACGCGCGCTCGATTCTCCAGAAAATTGAGCAATACTGGCGCGCACAACCAACTACGAAATCTATGCGTGTACACACGCGTAGCCGTAGCGAACTAAAATACGTGTACAACGAGGCGACGAATGAAATTTGAAAATTCGTAGCGATCTGCACGCGGGAAGCGTCGAATTTGCGAGAGAACGACGGGCATCGTGACGACGATAATATTTTTCTGACAGCGGTCTGTTTATCAACAAGCAACCGGCCATTTTCGAGCGCGCAGCGCAGGGCGTAACCAAGGCCGCGGATAAAACCGTACCTAACCCTACAATTCATTATGGTGTCTGTCCGGAAGAGAGGTCCTGCGAAGCTGGGAGAACGAAAGAGGGATCGATGGGCTTACCTTCGGGATAGGCTTGCTTGCTCTGGACAAAGTCGATGAATGTGTTGGTCACGTTGTACAGCTGTCCCATGCCCTTGGGGTTGAACTTCGTGGTGGCGTTGTAGGGCAGCCCGGTCGTGTTCACCGTGGTGTAGTTGTAAACCTCCGTGGCCATGATCCCTTTCAGCTGCCGGTCCAGATCCTCGCTGATCACTCGCATCCGATTCGTGAGGGTCTCCTGGCCATTTGCGGGGCGCGGCACCAGAACGCCGAGCAAACCGAGCAGGAGAATAATCGGTAATAAACCATGATGCACCACGGCACTCGGCCGACCACTCGAAGATCGTATCGAACACATGACAGCGACCTGCGCCCGGGACGCGTCGCTTAGGACTGATGGCTTGCCGCTGAGCCGAGGCACGCGGAACCGGACCATCCCCACTCCGGCCGCCATGCTGCCTGGAGACGAGACCTCGGCACCCTTCGGCAACATTCGGCTTCACCCGTTCTCTTCGTTCCGCTCGTTCCGAATGTTCTGCCGCTCGATCGGGATGCTCATTTTTTTGTCTCTTTTATCGCTATTCTTTTGTCATTGTTCGTCTAACCTTGTGTTCGAGCGAAGAGATTGAAGAGAAATCGTTCTTCGCACCGTTGTTATGTTGATCAATTCGAACTGACTGCGTAGTTTTGCGATAACGGCGGTGCTACTTAATTTTTCAAAATGTTATCCATTCAAGCCTTCAGAAGCCGATCGATATAGAAAAGCGACATCGACCATTGTATTTTACGTATCTATAAATATCTCGAAGCTGTCTTGTTCTTTCTGTGATCGAATTATTTTGAAAAATTAGATTCTGAATTATTTTAGCCAGTCGTTGAACATTGCCATGCAAATATCGCGATACTGAACTAATTTGAAACAACTGTGTCATGTAGCTTGCTGATCATGAAATACTGTTTGATTTTTTTTAGTTCATTTTCAATTATTTCTTCGGCTTACAGAGATTAAAACGACAGAGCACAAGAAACGGAAGGATTTAAGAATGAATTAAAGAAATTTAGAACTAATTCAAGAATTTAGAAATTAATTTAGGAAAATGTTTCATAACTCACCGAAGGTAAGACGATCTCGTTCGCCTGGCTTGATTTTCGCGCGCAGCCGCCATTAGAGGATCGGAACGGCGGCAAGCGGACCAGCGAATCACGATGCTGGATTTTCCCCGGAAATTTGAAACGCGCGTCCTTGTTCCAGCATCCCCGGGAGGTTCGCGGTTTAATTAATCATCGTAAGAGCATACACAATACGATGTTTCACGCGCGATAATTGCAGCTGCGAAAGAAGAAGCAACAGAAAGATTAACGCGAGAATCATGACGAAAGCTTGAGCGTGTCGTTCTTACGTCATTTAATTGAGTCGATCTCGCAACGCGGCGAGATGTTTCCGTTTAGGGGATCCTTGCTCTAAAATTGCGTCTAATCGTCGCGTTTGTTCCACGAACGCACCCGCGCTTTCACCGGCTGCTCCCCCGAGCTAATCTGAAATTCAACGACAGCGTAAGAATTAGAAAATTTGTTTTCTTCTGCACGTGTCCCTTGATTAGATTATACGAAATCGCCGCGTCTACACTACTTCACGATAATTCGAGACTCGTTTTCGACACCTCTTGAGTTTATCAATATTTCTGACAAGCTTTCAATCATTTCTTCTTAGATATTAACACATTGTTGACCGGCAATGTTGACAACGTCTGGTCATAAGAACGTTCTGGGCGCTAAATCTCTGAGATCGAATGTAACGCTAAATGTTCTGACGTATGATGTTCGATTCGGCATTGTTCTGCCCGATGAAACTGTTGACTCACGGACATCGGATCGTAATCTTGTCGAATGAACCGATTACACGGAAGCTTCTGTGAAGATATTCAATGACTTGTCCAAAGATGGTTTAGGCACATTGTAAATCAAGCTTACGAACTATCTCCGATGTAGATTAAGACCATATATCGATCTCACAGAAGTTGGTTGAAAAATGTCTGCAAGAAAATGAAAGAAATACTTCGACGGGCCAATGCAACGCGGTCGCCAAAAACGCTCGCCGCGAGAAGGTCGAGCGAAAAAAGGAAAAGACGACTGCATTACGACGGAAAAAAGAAATCGATGCACCTGCGACCGTCCTGTTTTCCTCGTGTCATTCCATGCCAGGCGGTTCAAGCTTTCACGGTGAGGTCCACTTTTAAAGACCAGTTCGATCGAAACGAAAAAAAGGGGAGAGCCACCCGGCAAAAAACTCATCGCGCGTAATTAAAAAGAAAGTCTCGCGGATATGCCCGCGACTCTTGGCGGTCTCGCGATAGTTTCTCCATTATTACTTAAATAACAGCCCCTTCCTGGAAACGTTCGCGGCAAAGCCGCGCCGGTTGTCCCGTCGAAAAACTCTTCTCGAAGAAGCCGGGCGACAGATTTTACCTTTCACGTTGCATTTACAATCCGCGTGTAACGAACCGCAGAAACCGCGGATCCAGGTCACGGCATCAAAAACTGCATTTCGATCGGGCCGTCGCCACTGTTTTCAGCTGACCCGAAAACCGGTGCCTAGCGACCGCTTAGACCAGCTGGTTTCCCACCGGAAACCGCCGAAAAATCATTAGCGAGACCGGAACGACGCCGACCGAGAAATTCAGACCGTCGTCGTGTCAGTATGCATCGCGAAACGCAATTCCGTACGGTGTCATGAAAAATTCTAGCGATTCGTTCTACCATTTTACTCTGACGGTAAAACCGTCGAACACTAAAACGCGACAAACACGCGTTGCTTTATGAGAATGACGCGAGTGAATTTATTTCCATATTTGTTATAATACGTGCTTAAATTAGAAAATACAATCGATCGTTACTTAACCAGTTGGTTGTTGCAATCTCGTTCAAGATCGTGTAAGTTACCGTAGTTGTACTGTACATGTCCGATTTCAGTTCATATTCTGTTTAAATAAAACACTCATCAATTAAGAAACAGCTAACCGGTTGAGACAATCGTTTCAGCAATTTTTAAACGAAAAACGTGAAGTTGCGAGCATGTTCTACGATGCACGACTTTTAATCTAGACGTTACGAACGGATCGAAAAGGTAACGTCTCTTTCAGGACACCTCACGGAACGATATTAAAGCGAAATTACCGGTTTATCGAACTCTTGGCGCGGGCGATGAAGAAGCAAAAGCTTAGTCACTCGCTCGAAATCGTCTATTGCCTCGAGCAATCCTTTTAGCTGTTCGCGAAACAACAGAAACGAAGGGATCATAAATGTTTTTATCAACGATCGCGTAGATTGTTTCTCGGAAATGGAGGCGCGTGATCGCGCGCGAAGGCGCTCAGGCCTTCTTAGTTTCGCAAACTCCGAAAGCACGTATCTCCCGGCGGGATTACAGCTTCCTGGGTACTCGCAGTCGAAACTTGGAAGCCGGGAATAGTTGAATAGCAGCGGAAGGAGTCCATCGGCGTGTTAAGGACCGGGTTTTCTCGGGGATGGCCGGCGCTGTTGCGAAACACGGTGAATGGTCTTCGAGTAATTCAGCCGGCGAAGCTTTATTCGCGGACCGGCAACTCGCTGGCAAACTTCTTTTCCTCGGCCGGCGAAGTTTTCCCAACGAAACGTCCCCGTCGCCGGCAAACATTTCGAAGTAACGACGCGATCGATCCGCGGAGGCTAGACTTCCAAGCGTCGCGTTACTTCGCGCGCGAACAAAGCGGATTGCGACGCAACGCGTCCTCTGGACCGAAGACTTTATTCGTTAGCAGATAGAAACGTACATCGAACATCGAATTCATCGACAACGATCTCGACAAATGCAAATCTTAAATTATAAATCCACGGTCTAACGAACTGTGCGCGAGGATTTTTACGGGGATGAAGCCTCTGTGTCGAAGCAGAGAGAAAATCGCTATACACGTATCGTGCTATGTACCCCTATATACGATTATTACCTTCTGCTAATTCTTTATTTGTCGTTCCCTAGCGAGATTAACTTAAAGATACGTAGCTAACGTCGACGCAGCGAGCTTATACCAACCTTTGCCTGCATCCGCAGTCTACTAACTATGAAACTGGAATAGATATGGATCCCGTGACAATGGACTCGTGTCGACGACGAGCAGACCGCGGATTCTTCTGCGAAAAATGAAAATTGCCTATATCGATCCGAAGAGACCGGAGCCGAATAGAAACGTCGTCTTAAATAACCTGCTGTTTGAAACTTCATCGACACGCTTCTGCCGTAGAAGCGAAAAATCCGCGGTCCAACGACGTCCAAAGGAAGCCTCATCCGCGATCGCCAATCGCGGGCGACAGCACGCCGATCGGAAGGCGAACAAAAATCGACTCTAATCTACGAGCTTAAAGATTAAGTTTAACAGTAACGAACAGCGAATAATTTATAAATAGCGAGCATGCTCTACGTCGATAATACTATTCCGGCTCTGTCGAACGAGGGGGGGAAGGGAGAACGGGGACGATTGCGACTCGGAGAGGAGGTCTGCCTGCCTCCAGACGTATAAGGCTTCTCCGGCGCGGTGAAAAAAAGACGAGAGGAGAAGAGAAGTGCCGGTAAAACCTGTAATTAAAATCAGCCAGCGGCTCGCGGCATGAAGCACGGTGCCGCCGCGGCTCCGGGACACTGACGTCTGAAAATAGTCACGGAGTGGTTCCAGGCGATCCGAGCCGGTTTAAAATTGGCGTAAAACTAGGCTACGTTCCACCTGACCCTTCGGGAGACGTGATAGACCGCGTATGCCATTGTGCAATCGGTAATGCCCGTCGGAACCCTGTCATTCATAAATCTGTCCCCGCCGAACAACACCCCATAACTCATGCCCTAGGAAAAAACCAGCTTGCGGAACCCGAGGCCGGTCTTCTCGGACGCAACAGAATCCATTTGGCAATCTTTTTCCGCTAGGTTGTTTCGTGCTTCGATCGATTCGCGCGCTAGTATTTTAATAGCTCCGAGGAACTCGAACCTACGACTCAGATTCTAGACTGTACAAGTTCGGATTTGTCTCCTAAGACGATCCATCGAACGAAGTTTTCCTCTAATTTCGAAGACATTAACGCGTAGATGTAAAATAAAAATCGTCCGAATCAATTTAAATAAAATTAAATAAAAATGTACTTCTCCTAACGCAATAATTTCGATTCCAATGTCTTCGTTGCACCTGGACAATTTGTTCGCAAACGCGCGAAATCCGCAGTCTAGATGCGATTCGATTCGCGTAAAGATGCGTTCTCCAAGATTGTAGATTCACGGACCGAATTCGAAACGGTGCCGTGGCTGCGAAAATCGGGAGAGACCTGTTGCGTTCCGTGCTTCCGCGATAAAAAAAGACGCTCAGCGGAACAATGCTGTTCGATGTCATCACCGATTGTCGCAATCGATCTGCGAGATGGAACTTTTCTACGGAGAACGATAGATAGGTAGATATCGGACGATCGCGATGGCCTGATGTTTTTTACGCGACGGTCGTGCCTCCCCTACGTGTTCCTGCTGGATAAAAGGGGAAGATTGCTCGGCGAGCCTCGGAGCGTCGCGGTAACCTAATGGGTCTCAGGAAGCGTAATTTCTGCGTTTAATGGGCTTGGGCAATTCCTTGGCAGCTGTGGCTTGGTCCGACGACATTTTTGGCACCTCCGGAGCTGACGGCAGACTCGAATCCTCTTGCGGAGTCAGCCAGTTGCTTGTTCTGGAAACAGCAAGAAATACAAGACCGTTTTCACGTCGAGAGTTGTTTAGCACTAAAGATAAGGGAATGGATTTTTAGATAGCAACAGATAAAGAACGGAAAAGATCACTTCAAATTGATCTAATAATAGTACAATGAATATCTGACTGACTCACTTTTTTGTAACCGTGAGCGAGTCACTTCTGACTGTGCCTCTCTATTTTTGTTATTCAGGCATAATGGGGAACAGAATTTACCGCAAAAGAGACGTTGTCATATTTACAATTCATTTTCTGCGAAGATAACATAGAGACTGTTCTAAAGAAGCAAACTCTCGATTGCGTTCCAAGGCTATACTAGTTGCTTCACATTTCATTCGACGTTGGTGCAAAACGAGAATCTTGTGTACCAGGAAACGTTGGCAAATGTGGTATGTATATAACAATTAAGATAAGAATCTTATCGAATGAAAGCGATTAGTCTAGGTGCATCAAGAATATTCAACATCTCCGTTCGGCTTCCTTCTCGAGCTGAATCGGTTCCAAATTTTCCCGCATTTCATAGCAACGAAGACTATCGAGCTCTCTGTAACACTTGTAACAAGGTCTTGAAATAAAAATTACCCGTTGACAAGAACTCCGTCAGCCTCTACCGGACCTTGAGCAGCTGCGACATCTTCCGTTTCGTTTCTCGGCGCATTCGTGGCCACCTCAGCTTTCGTATCGTTCCTGATCGCTTCGGTATCTCGAGGATTGTCTTCGGCAACTCCCAAAGCGTTGTGCCTCTGCATGACGCTAGCTTCTGTTGAAAAATGCCTGTCCGTGGTGGCCTTGATTTCTATGTTATCAGGATATCGATGCAACACGTTCTTTTCGTAATAATACTGTCCCGGTCTTCTGAACATATGCCTGTTATCTGTGATCCGAGTCACTAGCGGGCTCGGGACCTCGGTAGTCACGTGGCCTGCCCAATTCTGTCCATCCTGACCAGCAGATTCTTCTGTCACGATCGTCACGCTGTGGACCTTCGACGGTTTCGGCCTCTGGTAAGAGTTCTCTGACTCGCTCCATTGATCTTGAGTGAACGGCCTCGGCGAAGATAGATGAAACCGATTGTGGTAATCGTAGCTGGGCCTGGTAACGATGTTGAGTGGAGGAGAGACGTCGCCGTTGTGATAAGGCCTGTTGGGTCTCTGATAATCGTTCTTCGCTGGCTCGGAAACCCAAGGTTTCTCCGAGGAACTCTTCAAGTACAAACCGTCGGTGCTTACTCTGTCAATGGGCTTGCTGGTGATAGTTTGATAAGCCGGCCTGTCTTTCTGGTAAGTCGGAATAGAGGACCAGCCGTCGGGATCCGCCTGAACGGGACGTTGATAAGGTCTATTCGAATCGTAACGATCTCTGTCCGAATTAGAGGACACGCTGGACCAAGTCGAGTACTCGTACGGTCTGTCTTCTATTGGTCTGTGATCCGTCCCGTATCTGTCGTTTTGATACTGCCAATTAGAATCCCGCAAACTCTCGTAAGGCTTGTTAGGTCTACCTCCGTACTGTCCGGGATCGATCAGCTGGTTCATCAAACTCTGTTGTTGCAACTCTTGCCAATTCAAGGTGTAGCCGCTAACAGACCCATACTGACTCCCTGGTCTTCCATAAAGAGGTTTATGAGTGATCTGGCCATTATTTTGATACTGAGGCTCGTGGCTCGGCCAGGTGCTCACTGGAGGTCTCGGATCGTGATACTGAGGCTTATCATTCGCGTAATCCTGGTAAGGTCTCTGCGTAACCGGCCTCTGATAGTTGGTATAATAAGTGTACAGAGTCGGTCTGGGACTGCTACCATAGTTCTCGAATAGCACGCCGCTCAGCCCATAATTCGAGTGAAAGCCTTGGCTGGGAGGATTAGGGTTGTTAGGATCGTCGAAAGCGAGCGGAACGTAGGGTCGTCCGGTTTGAGGCGACGGCGGAGGGATCGTAGGTATTGGTTTAGGGTTCACATAAATTGGAACCTGTTGCAGAGGGCCATGATCGACCGGTATATCGTTGACGTAATCGGACGACGGTCTGGAAGGTGGACCAATCGGTCTATTGTTGATATAATCGAAGGGCGGTCTGGTGGGCAGAGTAGAGGGTCTGTTGTTGACATAATCGGTAGGCGGTCTGGTGGGCAGAGTAGAGGGTCTGTTGTTGACATAATCGGTAGGCGGTCTGGGAGGTTGAGTAGAGGGTCTGTTGTTGACATAATCGGTAGGCGGTCTGGTGGGCAGAGTAGAGGGTCTGTTGTTGACATAATCGGTAGGCGGTCTGGGAGGTTGATAGATCTGCTGCTTCGGAGGGTCTTCTTTAACGGTGGAGCCAAAGTTCCCGTCTTTGACGAAGATGGGAGCGTTCACAGCGTTGTTCTGCACCACTATGGTCACGTTATCGGGCGGACCGAGCGGCTTTCTGACGATGATCTTGTTGCTCTGATAGATACTCGTCTCCGTCGGCGTTCCTTTCTGCAACACGTTCTTCTGCGATTGGTCCCCGACTTTCGTCACAACTGCCCCGTTAGTCATGGGTTTCGCGGTGGTGTTCTGAGCAGGAATCTTCTTCCTGAACGGCCCCAGGAACCCAGCTCTGCCCCGAACTCCCGAAGGACCCTCTTTCCAAAACTCCAGGTCCAACTGACCTATCCCTGAATCTTGGCAGCTCACTCTCTGGTTCTTCAAGTTGTCTTGAATCAGGAAGACGAAGGGTTGAATGGTCTCGATCTCGTCCATGGTGCCGCAGAGCACTTGGGCCAGGCTGACGCGTCTGATCTGCTGAAGCTGTCCCGGAGTGAAGCTGTTCTCCCGATCAGGGTTCTCGTACCAGAACCTGTCGCCTTTGCGAAGGTTGCTGAACTGTTGCCCGATGATGCAGGCCAAGGTTGGACCCACCAATCCTCCGCTGACCGACTTCTCTGCTAATCCTGCCGTGAAGAGGTCGATGTCCTCCACGAACTTGTAAACTAGTCTAAATTTTGCGGCCGCCTCCGGAGGCATCGCTCTCTGTAGATCTTCGAAGCTTTTTATCGACGAAAGACCGCAAGGTTCTCGCCACTGGACGTACGGAGGAATCCCATGATCTCTGCCTCGCTGTATGTTTATGGAGGCCAGGTCCATGCCGAAGGGAAACTTCGGGGTTTGGAAGAGGTGATTGGTTAGCTCGTCGCTGATGTGCTCGTCCCTCTTTTGGGAGGGCTGATTGATTAAGCCGAGGAGCAGACGGTCCACAGAGCCTGCTGTCTCTAGGTTCGCCGGGTTGCTGAACTCCCTGTGGATCGTTACGTCTGCAACAAAGGCAATTTGTATCGCTCGATCTTTAAGGCTTCTTTCGATTAAGCGAAACACTCACTGTTGAGCAGAGGCCGATGGTTGCCGTCGAATCGGACGAAGCTCCGCTGCACCAGCGAGTGACCAAAACGATAAGCAGCTGCGGAGAACTCGTTGGCGACGGTAGGATTCACCGAAGGATCGTAGCCAGTGTAGTATCCTTTCTTAAGGACACCAAGGTCGAATATCTTCATCACGTCGGGACCTGTCGAAGCGATTCCGTGTATTCAATGATATCTTACCGAATCTGCAGTTAAATCGGCATACCAAGAACGATCGGCAAAAATTCTCTGTAGGTGATATGCTGGACGACAGCGCCGACGATCCGCCGGGATTCCTGGAATAGTTTCTCGTCGCTCCATTGAGGGTTCAACGCGGCTAGTTTCGTTGCTATTCTATTGTGCAGCCTCAGGAAGACCACGTGGAGAGACGTGAGTGCTGGTTGCTCGCCGAGCCGACCGTCGCCGGCGCGGAAGCATCTCGTTGACAATGACCCACGTAGACAGAGATCGGAATCTTGTTTCGGGAGCACCGGCCTCTGCGATTGGATTTTTCCGTACTGCAAGAGACCTGTGGACACGAACACCGCTGAATCGGTAAAGCGATGCTACGTCGTGTGTTTCATTCACATTTTTCTAACTTGATTCGACAGGGACAGTAATAAATCGATACAGTAATGTCACCCTTACTGACGCTCGGATCGCCCACTAAAATGAATAATTTGGGAAGAGGAGACACGATTATCCCAGCCTTGCGGCTCGTTTTTATAATTGTGGACAATTTATAACTATAAAAATAAACCGCGAGGCTCGAATAATCGTATCTCTCTTCTTCCCAAATTGTCCATTCTTGTGGTCAATCCGGGCGTCAATTAGAGAAACATTACTGTATAGGCTCACCGTTTCGGAACAGCCGCAAGGTGTCGGTTTGGAAGGCGTTGCTGCTGTACACCGTGGACGCGTCCACGTAGCTTGTCACCTGCGACAGCTGCTCCCTGGGGCCGAATTTGCAGTCTTCTCTGGGAGCCGGGCCGCTCCGAAGAAACTCCAGACACTTGACTCCTAGAGGACCGAAGAAACTGTCCTCCGCGCTCACGCTGATCGGCAGACACTCGGGATGCTGGAAAAATTGCATTTTTTTTACGTCGTTATTATATTTATCGAACACCCAACTCGGAGCGACGAAGGTTCGTTAACGTCGACGAATACTAACCATGAATTCTGCAGGCTGGAAACCCTTGCCAAAGTTGAGGCAACACTGAGGAATGCTCCCGTTGAATCCTCTACTCTGGCCGGTAGCTAAAACATCGATCGCGGACATGTTAAACTCTGCTCGATCGAACTAATTAATATCCTGCTAATCGATCATTGATATTACCGGTTAAGTCGTGATCCACGAACTGCCCCCACTGCATCAGCATGTGAGTGATCGAAGCTAGAGGCACGTCTCTGTCCTCGTGGATGATCCTGGTCACATCTCTCGCGCTGGGCAGAGGCGATCCATCTATCGATTTCCTTACGCTTTGGACTCCGTCGCCGTAAACTGGAGGCAGGAACCTGAGACGATCGGATAATACAGATCTTTAATATNTGCTCGCCGAGCCGACCGTCGCCGGCGCGGAAGCATCTCGTTGACAATGACCCACGTAGACAGAGATCGGAATCTTGTTTCGGGAGCACCGGCCTCTGCGATTGGATTTTTCCGTACTGCAAGAGACCTGTGGACACGAACACCGCTGAATCGGTAAAGCGATGCTACGTCGTGTGTTTCATTCACATTTTTCTAACTTGATTCGACAGGGACAGTAATAAATCGATACAGTAATGTCACCCTTACTGACGCTCGGATCGCCCACTAAAATGAATAATTTGGGAAGAGGAGACACGATTATCCCAGCCTTGCGGCTCGTTTTTATAATTGTGGACAATTTATAACTATAAAAATAAACCGCGAGGCTCGAATAATCGTATCTCTCTTCTTCCCAAATTGTCCATTCTTGTGGTCAATCCGGGCGTCAATTAGAGAAACATTACTGTATAGGCTCACCGTTTCGGAACAGCCGCAAGGTGTCGGTTTGGAAGGCGTTGCTGCTGTACACCGTGGACGCGTCCACGTAGCTTGTCACCTGCGACAGCTGCTCCCTGGGGCCGAATTTGCAGTCTTCTCTGGGAGCCGGGCCGCTCCGAAGAAACTCCAGACACTTGACTCCTAGAGGACCGAAGAAACTGTCCTCCGCGCTCACGCTGATCGGCAGACACTCGGGATGCTGGAAAAATTGCATTTTTTTTACGTCGTTATTATATTTATCGAACACCCAACTCGGAGCGACGAAGGTTCGTTAACGTCGACGAATACTAACCATGAATTCTGCAGGCTGGAAACCCTTGCCAAAGTTGAGGCAACACTGAGGAATGCTCCCGTTGAATCCTCTACTCTGGCCGGTAGCTAAAACATCGATCGCGGACATGTTAAACTCTGCTCGATCGAACTAATTAATATCCTGCTAATCGATCATTGATATTACCGGTTAAGTCGTGATCCACGAACTGCCCCCACTGCATCAGCATGTGAGTGATCGAAGCTAGAGGCACGTCTCTGTCCTCGTGGATGATCCTGGTCACATCTCTCGCGCTGGGCAGAGGCGATCCATCTATCGATTTCCTTACGCTTTGGACTCCGTCGCCGTAAACTGGAGGCAGGAACCTGAGACGATCGGATAATACAGATCTTTAATATACCCGTTGGACTTTCGTTTGTTAATGAATTACCTGTTCATAGGGGACATCGCAGACCCCCACCACAGGTTCTGCCGATTGTTGCAGCTGCCGTCGGACGTTCTGTATCGCGAACTAGCCGGTGGACACTCGGGTACTCCTCTGTTCGGGCAGTGACGTTGCAGCAGATTGCTTTGACTTCGTCGAGCCAGCAGCGATTCCGTCGGAATGTCCGGGAACCTTCGGGAGAAACGTCTCGGAATTAACGAACGGAGAACAGCTAAAATCTAGGAAGACGAATTCTTACTTCTTCTTGAACATCGTGGTACTCTGAAGCACGGCGAAACCATATTTCGCGAGGGCCCTCGCCTCCTCTGTCTGGTCGTTGAAAGCTGCCACATACTTCGCCGGGTTGTCCGAGTCCAGGTAGAGACCTGTCGTGAAGCAACGTTTGCCAATCCGTTCTTACCCGAGAGCGAAGTACAAAATCAATGGACAAGATACAGCAAGTCGTACTAATAGCACTGTTTCGTGCAGGGAACGCCCGCGTCTCCAAACTGTGAATTAGCTTAGGATCCACTATTTTTTAACGAAGCTAGAACTTGCCGTATCTTCTCCACTGTTTACCGACATCGACTAGCGATAAGGAGAACGTGGAACCGACCCATGGAGTAGAGCGTAGGCTCGGTAACAAGGTACAAGTTCTTCATGGCCTGCAGCCCGAAGTTGGCGACCTCGAGAAGGTCTTCCTCTCCGGGCTCGCTTTTCTCTTGGCTCTTCGGATCATCGCTTTCCACGGATACAGACGCGTCGTCTCCATTATCCCCGACAGCGGTCCTCGAGGAAAGTCCTGCCGGGTTTCTCCGCGAATACTCCTCCTCGGTCGCCGGTAGGCTCGAGTCTCCCTCTTCTCCGTACAACGGGCTCGAAAATGTCTCCTTTGTCCCGTTTTCCGGGGCGAGTTCCCAACGGCTCGTATTTTCCAGCGTGTTTCCCGGCCTCACCTCCGTGAGCACCTCGGAGTCTACGGTGGCCCCCTCGTCAACGGAGTCACCCGTGTTCTCGACGTGCTCCGAAACTTTCGACGGATCCGCCCGCTCGAGCAGTTTCCGCACTTGCTCGACGATCTCCGCGTATCTACTCGGGTCCTCGGGAATGAACAGGGTTTCTATGGGGCGGTTCTCCTCTGCTCTCGATCCTTCTCGATTCGGTAATGCGTCTTTCGCGGTTAATGAGGCGGTTGAGTCTTCCTTTAGCGGGGTTTCATGGCTCGCGGTTTTCGACAATGCGGGACAGAGCAGGGCGAGGAGGATTCTGCAAGGTGAACGACCTGTTAGCCGCCGGGATATCCGGAATTCGCATACATTCGGCTAACAAAATTCTTTAGAAACAGGCTCGTTCGGACTGCGATAAATTTTCCTTCGGCTTGCAAACAAAAATCGATAATTTGGGACGAGGAGATACGATTATTCGAGGCTTGCGCCACGTTTTTATAATTGTTGACAATCGGAAACTAAAGATGCACGTTCGGACTATTTCCTAGCAATCGAATGCAGACAATGCACCCAAGAGAAACCGACTTTGTTTTACAGGAATCGATCGTCGCGAAGGAACAACATTAATTTTCCAGGGACGATCGGATGACCCGCGTTCTCGGTGCAACGATTTGTCGAACGTGACGTCAGCTTTCTCACGTGCAACGCGAGTAGGCGAACGCGTGAATGGCTCGTTCCTCGTGCACACGTTGAGTACCGTTGAGTCGCAGCACGTGCGGCCCCCTGCATTTGCATTCCGCCGCGTTCCCTGCATTTAATTGCGCCGATCGCGAGAGAAATCGCCTCTCCGAAGCGGCGACACCGCGATCGGACCCGATCGGTTCGCGATTCCCGTCACGGTCCCATCGAACTGGATCATCGATCACCGATCACCGATGCCCAGATTCGCATTCGTAATATGCAAATACCCGTTACCCACATTTTACACCCTATTACTCGCCGCGAATACCGAGGATGCCCGCGGGGAACACGGGCCCGCAACCGTGTTTTCGCGGATACCGGCCCGTAAGGAATTCCTAGGGCCTCCGCAACGTTCGCGCAATCCTCGGGATACATTAAGATCCTAATCAACGGTTGACGAAACAAATGATCGTCGCGCATAGAAGAGATTTATAATCGCGCGTTTTATGGAGACGCGTCTCGAAACGGAAAGAATCCAGGAGGAGATCGGAGATTTTGTGCAGACCGTAGATCTAATGGCCGCGGCTGTTTCGGACAAGTAGGTTAACGCCGGTTCCACAGTAATTTATCTAGGTTGCGCAGCGATGTACATCACGGTGTCGGTAGCAAGAAGCTGTAGACCGCCATTAATGACAAGTCATTGAAAGGTAGTAAACAACGAAAGGAAGCCACGAGCACCACGACAAAGTAACACGGATGCTTTATTTGGAATGTGGAAAGATGTAACGGGACAGCCGATCGTGGGATGCTGGCGCGAAACGAGACAACCGAATTCTGTTCCGATCAACGCCTGATTCGACTTTGTAAAACATTCCACGCGGAAAACCGTTCCGCGCGTCGCGCCGTCCTCGCTCGTTTAAGATGCGAACGTTAATCTTACGGGGAATCGCTGAAAGTCGTGCCACAAAGTCGGAGAAACCGTGAAGATAATTTATATCGAATTAATTTCGCTCCTCGAGAACCCCTAAATAATATCTGGAACATTGACTAAATACTTAATACCAAAAATGACCGACAATTCTCTCGGAATATTTATTTCATTGTACGCGCGACTTAAGAAATTTATCGAATTACTCCTTACAGTCTGTAATGAAAACTAAGTGAAACCGGTGATTTTGATCGGCACGGTAGATTCAGTGTTGCGAAATTAAAAAGGCCCTCCATGAAATTAATTTCACTCCGCGAGAAACGCGGAAAACATTTTTTTAAACAATCCAGCAGAGCCGGCAGGTAAAAATGACAGATCTGAGAAGAAATTAGCGTGACAACGTGCGATTGTTCCGTGAAAAATGAGGGTGTCAAGTTAAAAAAGCACGAGACTCACAGAGTAGAAGGCCACATGGCTACCGGAAGCACCCTCGAAGCGCGGTAAATGGCGTTGCAGCGTAATTCCACCCCCGCGATGTTTCAGGAAACGTTTAAGATGACGTTGACCGCAACTCGCGGCCTTCCCGAGGACGGTCCACCAAGTACTAAGCTCGGTGGAGGCTGGTCGACCGGTCTTATTCGCGATTGAGGATACAGGGCGTATTTTTTTCTCGCTTTTTATCCGATCCGGTCGGTCATGCACCTTTTTCTCGGATTTTTACTGTTACTCGACTGGCCTGCGGGCGTCACCTCTTTGATTTCGACTGTAGCTTCCGCGATCCGCGACTCGATCATGGGAGAGGGATCGCTCTGTCACGAGAGGAGCCTCCTTTTAATCGGAGAGGGAGAGAGAGACAGAGACAGAAAGAGAGAGGAGGGGGAGAGAGAGAAAGAAACGGCGAGATGCCTTTTTAATTCGACGACACGCATCGTGTTCCTGTTAGATCTCCCGTTTCGAGAGAAATCGAGACTCGTGCTATGCTAATCGGTGGTCGACGGCCTTACGAGTGTTTTCAGTACGCGTCTCAAACGATTCTAATGGCTCGATCGTTACCTCGAAATCCGAGGAAGAAACTTCGACGGGATTATCAGAGATTTACGATAGACTGCTCAATAAAGTCTTAAACTCCGGCTACTGATTCCCGTCGTAAAATCGGCGGTCCATTTATGATCTTCCGAGCGAAGATTTTAACGCTTCTTCTTGTTCATTTATCGTTCTCCGGATCCGATAAAGCCCCGTTTTTTTCCGACTTTCACGACTACGCGGGCATCGTGATTCCAGACAACGTTCTGTCGCAACACGGGGGTGCAATTACGTTTCCTTATTGTCTAATCGCTGTATTGTGTGCGTGCATATTTGCGGCCGGCTGCGCACGCTGGTCTAAACGTACCTTGTCAGTGTCGGGCAGCTTTCTCCTGTGCTTGCAAGCTGGCAATCGCCTTTACCGAGCCGTACAACACTTTCGCCCGTACTTGTACCCTCCTCGTGACGGTGCAGGAGTTCGCAGACGCGGAGGACCCGCTTCCGGTCCCGCCGCCGGAAGTCGAGCCTAACTGCAGCGCGGTGCCGCCGTAATTTGCACCTCTGCAGCTCGTGCAACCCTCCGACATTGTCCCTTCTCGAGTGTCCTCTCGCGTGCAACAGGAAATGCCTCTGCCAAATCAAAGTTCATCCCCAAATCAAATCCAGTCCCCTCTTTTGTTCCTATCGCCGCCATTTTGTACGACACGCAGAAAAATATCGAAACATTTTACGCTCCTCGAGCTTCGTACGATCGGGCGCCAACGATTAATTTTTAATCGGCGCTTACATTCATCTCGAAATACGATTCTAAACGTGGAAGAAAGTCCGCTGTCCTTGATAGACGGAATTTCTCCGCGGTCGCTGAATGCCCGGCGACGTCGAGCATACGCGATTTTTGCCTGTTCTAATGTCAACTCGTTGTAATTACAAACCGCGGCGGACAGCTCGCTATCATCTAAAAGCAATCCATCAATAGCGGCGACGCGCCGCAAGCTAATTGCCCAGGAGGAACGCGAATTAATCTTGCGAAACGTCCAACAATTATTAATTGATACCGCGCAATCCTTCCGCGATCTTTCGGCCGCGTTTCGCGTTTATTAGTCTGCCATCGGTGATTAATGCCCCGTCCACACCATCCAGAATCGCGCCGGCATAATCGCTGATCATGCTATCGAACGTTTCCATCTATTCCCACCATCTCGCGCGCATTTAATTTCGACGTGGCGCGATCGAGATTCAGAGATCGGGATAAAAATTGATCGTCGATTCGGCGGCGTCCATTGTTTCGAATGCGGGCCGGGATGCAACGTCGACGAAGGAAATTGCACCGTTTCAACGGCGCGCGAACGCTCGAACGACGCACGTTGTGGACGGGGCATTATAACGTAGCGAGCGCGGCTCTGACCCGCGCGCGCCGTTCACCATAAATCCGGGAAAATCTGGGTTAATTATACTAATGGCAGTATAAGGCGAGCTTTCCTACCGGCGACCTTACCGGAAAAAGGCGAGACCGGGTAACTTCCCCGGCACGATCGTGCACGGGCAATTTTACAAACGGAGAATAGGGACAATGGTCCTTGCAACAACCGTTTTTCCCCGATTCGACGGGGACTCGCGGACCTCGCGGACTCTTTCGCCAGAGGATTATGGCAATTCTTTGCGTACAGTCTGTTGGCAAATCGAGTAACACGCTGGAAAGAAAATGCAAAGAATCCGACGGATTTTTCTCTCGTCGTGCCGATCTGCTCGACTGTTCGGCGCAGGTATTCGCGTTTAGAGAATATTTTCAACGCGAGAAATGCGGGGACTTCTAACAACCGAAGCGACAAGGAATTCGTAAGAACGAAGAGTGTCTTAAATATAATTAGACCGATAAACAGGTCGGCGTATAAGACTCCGGAAGGTTCAAGATTAAATTAAATTAAAAATAGTGATCGAAAGAGAGTTTCGATTAATGAAAGTCACATTTTCAGAACGCATCGAATATTTTCATGAAAGAGAAACGAGTTCGATGCTACCAGACGGTGCTGCGATACCAGCGACTTTTTCAAAACGGCGAACGCGAATTGCTTCCATATAGAACAGAGTTCCAAAGTGATTGCTTAAATCGGTGATCCGAGATGATTCGCTTGTTTAAAACTATCGAGGTAGATCGCAACCAGAAGGAGGATCGTAGAACGGGACGTACGAGGCGAGTTCTAGTCCAGACGGCGTTATCCAGGGAAGGTTCTCAGCATCCTCTGGGCCCTCTATCCAGGCTGGTTACTCTATGGTAGCTCACTGCGGGTTCACAATCGGCGACGACGGCCACGTCCGAGCCGGTTGTGCACGTCGAACAAACTGATCGCTCGCGACGGCCTCGTGGTAAGCCGCACCACGGCCGCTCGTCTCTCTTTTCTTCTTCGCCGGGGTCTTGGCGGCGGTCTCCTTCGTCGTCGTCGTTGTCCTACGACCGACGTGTCCCCCCAGGAGGGGACACCCGGCGAAACGGCCTCCACTCTTCGGCCCCGCTGCTTTCCTCTGACTCACGATCCTGATGTACAGTCGTCCCTGATAACACCGGCCGCCTCCGATCTTCGACCCTTCGCTCCCTGTTCCCGATTACTCGCAAAAATCAAACTTCTTTTTCACCTTCGTCTTCGTCGATCTTCGGGGTTCCGAGGTCGCTGGACCAGTTGATTGCGTTCTGAAAATTTTCTGGATTAGTACGGTTGCCCTTTTTCTGGATCTTGGTTAAATTAAACAATAATTCGAAATTTGTTCCTGGTAGGGTTCTAAGATTGCCGAAGCATTTGTTTTCTCATTTACGAAGAATTTTCTCTGGGTATAATGACCCCTTTTTGTCGTGTTTTCGGGACCTTGTTGAAATTAGGACAGTCTTTTGTTCTCGGCAGGCGACTAAGCTCGCCGAAGTGTCCGACTCCGATTTTTCCTACGCGATTTGGAAAGTCCTCGATCGTTCTTTTTACGAAGCGGATTTCGTGCATGTCCGGACGGACTACTCCAGGTATGTAGTTCGTAGCCGCGTGTTCTTTGTGTCGGAGACACGGCGAACCGATATTGCGCCCTATATGGTCGCGAGGGCGTTTCTATATTCGCTCGGCGCATAAAAGTGGAACAAAGCGGCTCTCGAACGTAAAGGGCCATTTTCCCGTATTTCATGGAAACGGCCGCTCGAGTTTAAGCATTATCCAGAAGTGGAGCAAAGATCCCGGCGAATTGTACTTCGCCAGGGAGCAACGTTCACGCCTGCGAGGTAAATACGGGCTCTGCCGAAATCCGGAGAAGGAGCCTTCGCTTGTACAACTCTTCCGTTGAAAAAGGGACGTTCCTCTCGAGATTTTCAGAGAGGAGAATCGACGATCGTAGGCAGGTTTACGGAAAAGCAGCGCGATAGCAGAGCTGACTGTACCGTGATACGGGGACATTGGCGAGGGAGGGAGAGGGTATGCTGGGGCCACAGATCGGTACGCGGACCCAACTGCGAAACCTAACCTTCGATCGGTAAAAATTCGACCGGCGAATGGCCGGACCTTGTGCCCCGTATAATTCTTTCGCAACACGGCTGTACACGTGCGCGCGCGCGCGCGCGCGTGCGCCAGCACGCCTCAAAGATCCGTGTAAAATCCAGCCCCCTGCCGATCGCGGGGTTCACGGTACCGTATCCGCCTGGTCCTCTTTCTGCTGGGGCCCCCTTTCCCGAAAACCGAGCCACGGTTGCCACACGATTCATTCCTGCACGTGTAAGAAAATTAATTGCCCGCGTACCCCATTAACCTTACGATAGCTCTTAAAACCGACTCGAGAATTCTCGAGAAAATTCGAAGTTATCTCCGCCAGTTCAGCGATGGTTTCTGCGCCGGGTCGTCTCTCCCCACCGGTCCTCGTTTTCCTAAAAACTGAGCTACGGTTATTACCGCACCGTTCACATTTCGGAACAGGAAACTTAATTACTCCCATTATAATATTTATTAACCCTCGGACGGCGGACCATTTCCGCGAACTGTGCCGTTGACGATTTTTCCTAAGAATTCTCAGCCTTTCCTCAGTTTCTAATGCAATGATCTATTTTATTTAATTGCCGATTCGAATATTCCGCGGTGAAACTCGACCCGGCCACCGCCTTGCGAGGGTTAAACAACATCGAGAATTCTCGGTCGAATTAAGAATCGTCTTCTCCGGTTCGAACAACGGTTTTCTGCGCTTCTATTTCCATTCACGAAGACGTTCGGAATCGTTTCCAGCTGAGCCTATTATTACAGCCGCACGTACCAGGTGTAAAAATGCGCCGTCTCGCGTTTCCCCCCCAGGCTTTTAATTGGGGGAGGCTCGCCTCGCGGACAAGAAAACAGCCTCTGTAACGCGACTCCTTCGGCAAAGGATTGTTGCTCACCCTCCGTTTGCATTGCGTTGCTCGTGTTACAACGGTCGCAAAAAGCGTCGCGGGTAAAAGAACCAGGCGGTCCAGTTCCCTGTCGATAACTGGAGCGACAAAGTCGGGTGAATCGATCTCATTGACACCGGATTTGCCAGGAGCCTCTAGCCTCGTTCTAGAAGCTGACCTACTGCTTCGTATTAACGTCTCGTTCGCGGAGCTGTATCTCTCGCCGGCGTCGTTTCAGCATCCGTGGCTTCGATACGCGCAATCTTTTCGACCTCTTCCGGATGTCCTCTTCGCCTTATCCAGGCCTCTTAAGTTCCTCGATGCCCTTTGAACCTCTTTCAATCATTATCTTCTCGGACCTCGACCCTTTTTATTCGCACCTTCTGGGCTGGTCGCTCTTTGCTTTTCGATTCTTTGAATTCTACCTCGGGTTTTGTACGTCGCCCAATCTTTCGGACCCTCCGTTCCCTTCATCTGCACCAGACACTCCTTATTCTTCGATTCTTTGAATTTTACATCGGTAGTTCGCTGCGTCTCCTAATTATATAAACTCTCTACTTCGTGATTTCTTCGTCTTCCAATTTTTTGGATCCTCTGCCAGGCCCGGAGTTCCTTGTTCTGCAAATTCTACATCAATTTTTCTAAATTCTCCACCGTCACGATCCTGTTGCCAAATTCGCCAGTTTATCCTCCATGGCTGATTTACCAAAGGCAACGTTTGCGTCTCGGAGGCATTCAATTTTTCTACGCTCCGAGTCTCCGGTGTCGGCCGTTCGATAAGTTCTCGCTTCGATCCGAGCATCCCGATTCTCGATCCCCGTTGTTCCCGATTGCTTCAGGATCGGGGCACGCGTGACCGGCTCCCCGGTCTCTCTCGGTCCTCGGAACGTTCGCACAGAGAAGGAGAGCGGGTATCAATCAAATTATTACCGCAATCTGGTTCTCGTGACAGCCCCGGGAGCAGTTCCCAAGCACAATACACACCGGGCGTGTGTCGCAATCACGCGCCGAGAGGATCGAGAGACGCGTGAAACACGGCGAGATAGATCCTAGATGCGTCCGGAGAGGATGAGTTTTTCGTCGCGGAACCAGGACTCGTGGCCGCGTTTTACCAGTTTACCTACGGTTATTAGCCGGAGCGCCGGCAGACTGTTGGGAAACTAGGCAGGCTCGTGATCCAGCAAACTTCGAATGCATCGGTCGCGTTATTATTGAAAACGGATTTTTGCGACCGCCGGCGCCGCCGCCGGTGGGGATAATTGTTCTGAACTAGTTGGGAAAAGTTCCGATCCCCAACCGGGTTATCTGGCTTCGACGGAACACGCCGTGAATTTATTCGATGCCTCCAGTCGCCGTACTGTGCCCGAAAATATGCTCTGCGAACTACATTTGCGACGTGCGAATCCATTTTTATCGACCGCCTCTCGTTCATCGATAATTAGTACAATAAATTCAGTCGTCCAGGTACCGGAGAATTTCTCGATTTAAATTCGCTGTTCTTTTTTAGGAAATTCTCTCTCATTTTTAGATAATTAAATTCTTTACACCTCCTATTAAACTGGATATATTTTATGTTTAACAGGGGCTCTCCATATTTTTAATTATTCTCTTTTATTCTTAGGGAGAATTTACTGTATAGATACCTTCGCATTGCATGCTTCGAATAATTCTTAGGACGTGAAAATATTCGAACAGCGCGTCGAACGTGTAAAATCTGCAGCTCGTTAATTCTGTCGAGTCTAAAGGCGAGAGAGCCGATTAAACGCGGCGAGCAGTTGAATTTTTCGAATGCGACAGAGGGGATCGGGATTAGCATAAAGTTTTGGCGACAGTGTTCGTCGGGTCAGCCTTCGAGCGGGTTGCGTGTGCAATCGTAATCACCGAAATTTCCGCAGGAGAGCCGGCGCAGCCGAGCGAACGAAAGACCGAGGTGAACCGAGCTCCACGGTGTCCCGCTATCAGTATCGTCAGTGGGTCAGTTAACAACGGGGTCAGCCGAGGGCGAATCCGGACTCTGCGGGTTAACCAATCGCCACGCGAGCCTCCGTCCTCTTGACAATGACTATTAACTGTATATGCACCCACAAAACCGGAGGCGGCCACGTAACCATCGGCTTTACACCCTCGACAAAGCGGCGGCCGGGATCTTAACGATCCGACGTTAACGTCGCCTGGCCACGAAATGCGATATTTAGTGTCGCCGCGATTTCCAACGGCTTTATCCGCCAGGATTTACCATTCCGCAGACTCTTTATCTTATCGACCGCGAAATGATTCAATCGCGAGCCGACAATATGAGATCCGCGATATCAATTTGCTAGTGCCACGACTTCAAAGCCTATTTAACGCTGACAATTATTGATACTGTAATAACGTTTTTGCGAGCAAATCACTGGATATGTTTCTTTATTCGGGCGTACTTTGTGATAAGAATTGTGCGATGTCTTGACAAACGAAGCTGTATTATTTTTAAAACAGTTCAGTCGTCGATTTGCCGGAGCTGTGATTTCTTACGAGAACGATTAAAAGATCAATTTATCATTTCGTTTGAGAAAGATTAACGCGCGTGACGTAGAACTTACCGATGAATTTATCTGATCTGTAGAATCGAACGGAATAATCTTACGGTATATCGGACGTCTAAATATATGTATTTTGAGGAGAGATCACCGGCGGAATTTGCGAGTAAGAGCACGTTTTGGCGGAGAAGTTTATCAGATTCGAGAGTCGCGAATAGAACGTAACGATCGATAACACCGATGGAAGAGAGAGAATGAACTCGAGTTTCATTATCGTAATTGTAAACGTGACTCGGTTGAACAATGAACTCGACACTGGCGTTGTGTACGGTACTGAACTTCCGGCTCGAGCCTCGTAGCGGTCGCGGTTTATCGCGAAACGATGGCGACTGTGATTAATGATCCCCGGATAGATCTCGCTGCCTTTTGTTCCCACTGATTCTATCACGTTTAGCGGATTAAGCTGTACAAAATGTCACGTGTCCTGTAACACTCGATGCTCGTTTAATTAAACCCACCGAACCGATCGACCGATTTAAACATCGTCCGATCGATCTCGCAATATTTGAGAATCCGCTGAATTAATTTATTCTATGCAAATCCGCACGTTCGCAGATTATTCCTTGTACAAGGAATATATAAATTTAGCGTAGCTATAAATTTTAGTACGGCACGAGCGCATAAGATATTCGCAGCTGGCGAGTGTGTACGTACCAGAAAATGGCAGCGAATCGAGGCTCTCGCCTGAATGCAGGAGGATGACCCGCGAGGGCCAGATCAGCTCAGAGGGGATGCCCTCGGAGTTTTTCATTACCACTGGATGGATATATATCTGGCTGGCTTGGGAACTAGCCGGAAGACCGGAGGAGAGCCGTGCGATTACGCCAGGTGGGGGATAAATAAGGAGTAGGTGGTACGGCGAGATGAGACGAGAAACAAGGCGGAAGTGGGTCAGCGGGACTCTCGGTCGTCAGGGTCCGGGTTCATTTCTCCGCTCCCCGAGAATTACTGGCTGGCTCGGTCCAGCTAATGAAACAACACCGATAAATCTCCTGGCTATGATATAGGCTCATCCGAACCGAGTGCCGTTTCAGTTTCCTCGCGAACGACGAAGTCCGTGCCAATGATCGACGTCAACGAGCCAAAACGCCACGAATTCCCACCGTTCGGGTTATATTCGCAATTCCGTGAAATCCGTGTATTTATCGGTGTCATAATTGATCTTACGAAATGAAATCTATGTTAAAAATGTTCGTACAGTGGTGTGGATGATTAAGAAAAAACGAGAAGGTGATTGTTACCGTTTCGTTGGTTCCACTTTCGGCGTGAAATAATGGAACAGTTCTTCGGTCATTCTGAATTTATATTTTATACATACATAGATTTCTTTGAATATTTACAAGTAGTTCGTTTCTTTGTCCGTTTGTAGTTTTAATGCATAATTTCTCGTCTCTTTCTTTCTCTCTCTCTCTCTCACTCGCTCGCTCGCTCTCATTAATTCGGGAGGAGAATCTAGGCGTTGTTTAAACTTCGTACCTCCTCCCGGCGTTAACACTTATCCGCTAGGTTGATTATTTTACACTCAACATCGATAAACACTCAAGTAGAGCTAATAAAATTTACTAACTTTTCTTTCGTTTTTTTAAGTTCTCTTCAGTGAATCTCTTTCTCTCTCTCCCACACTCTCCCGCTCTTTCACGATACACGCATATCACCATCTTTCTCTCTTTCTCTCTCTCTTCATATCTCTTTTTCTGCTAAATCCGATGAAACACGCGAGTGCGTACTAATCAATTATTCGTGTCCTGTTTAACCAGTGACGAGTACGCACTCCGACAAGATACAGTAAAAATCTCTATTCTTTTCTCCTCCTTCTCTCTCTCTCTCCCTTTCTCTCTCCCTCTCGTCTGTTTTCTCAATAAAAAAATATGTGCATCGTATATCTTCGTTTAAACTTAGGTGGCCCCCTCGTTGCTCGGTACCACTGTCCAGTCGATCGACCGATCTTCCTGTTTCCCTCGCCGAAGGACGGATCATCGCGTTAACGCTAATTCAATGACGTTGGAATTAGTCCAATTTCACGATTAAGAAAATTGCCGGCCGAAAACTCTGGACGTTCGTGCGATTTTACCGAAAAGAAACTACGATCGCGCATTCTCGGATAAAACATTTAGCGAACGCGCGTATTCGCAAATTGTAATTAATCGTCGACAACGTAAAATTAGCCATACGTTCTTCAGGGTGTAAATCGAGTAATACCAAACGCTTCTAACGACCCAACCGCACAAAAGTCCACAGTTAATCGAAAGCTATAGCATAGAATATTTGGTTTCCCCGAGTAGCGAAACTCTGGATGCAATCGAAGGTTTTCTTTGACCTCGTCGGTTACACGTTTCTACGTCAAACGCTAACGATTAAGTAATACATGGAGACCGCTGTACAGCGGTACCGCGCGTTCCGGGCGCGTTCATTATACAATCCACCCCGCATCGATCGTTCAACCACCGCAAATAACAGTCTTCGAAAGGCTGGAAGCTCGATCGAGACCACCGATAGACAAATTCCTCGAGAATTCCGCCAGCGACGAACACACGCACACACAGCCCATCTGATCGCAACCTGAACGGAGAATAAACGCGTTAGAAGCGTGCACGATTCGTTCGCGTAGAATACAAATATACAAATCCAGATGCTTCGACACCAGAGAACGTTTCACGCTCCCCAACGAAATCGGGCCCGGAGAACACGAAAGAGAGCAATCTCGTAACAAAATACCGCCGACCGTATCCTGATCGGCCAGGCGAATTGGACGCAAGGAAAAAGAGCAAACCTTGCTCAAGAGCAAACAACGCTGCCTCGAATTAACCCTAGAGTGGCACATACGAGTCATTCGCGTCTATGTCTAGCTTTTTACGAGGGACGCAACGCTAAAATTAACCTGCTAGTGACTTTATTCGTCTTGATTCGATGACCGCGCGTTTTTGTTCTCGTCGACAGATCAGCCGGGGGATCGATTGGGAGAGGACTCTGGTGGCCAACCGATAAGATAAGACACCTCGAAGGTGCGAGCCAACCTCGTTAAACACTGTATCACTGCAGGGACTATTTCGAACATCGAATACAGATGAGTTATTTAATAATTTTCCGTAATGCCGTTTGGCTGATACAAGTATTTGGGAAACGAAACTATGTAAGTCAGCCACGGTCGAATTTTTCCTAGTGTTAAGCAAGGGTTGATCGCACCCTTTTCTACAAAATTCCACGTTTAATCCTATATTTCTGCATAACTATTGGAATATCGAGTATAGATAAATCGTAATAATTTTTTAATTACTGTTTGGCTAATACGAATTTTTAAGAAATTAAATTAGGATACGGCCATGATTTCTCTACTAGTGTGAAACGTGGGTTGATCGCACACTTCTTTAGGATTTTAAATACTGCAGATCAGCACGTGCCATTACAGGGTTAAAAATAATCGCGCTAGTCTTCGTTAAATCTAAGCAACAGTCTATAAAGCCTCTTTCATCGATCGCCTACAGTTCTCGCTCGCAATCTGCCCTAATCGCCACCTCGTATCCCTAAAGAAGCGCGCTTCGAGCGACTTCCGTCGATGTTCGAGCGCAACAAAAGCCACTCCCCCCGCGTGGATCATCGTGAACATATCGTGTAACACTGTACACGTTTCACGATGCCCGATGGGTTCCCTTAAGACGCTAGAAAAGAACGGGGACCAGCTAATCCGCCTCGAAAACCTAGTCCCGTTTTCATGAACGAGGCTCGGTCGTCGTAGTTAGTCGGCAAATATAAATATAAAATCTTCCGCGCGATCGAGGCGTCCAAGACGGTGCCCCAGTCGATCACTCGATCATACTTGTATCGATCTCGGTGAACCGACCGGGTTCATAATTTACAAATCCGCTTGAACGCGACGTCCGCGAGATGAGATCATCTCCGAAGCGTCCGTGTATTCGCATTGAAACATTGAGATCGGTACCTAAAATACAGCAATACGATTGAGTATTATCCGCTCCAGACTATCTTAGACTCTGCTTGAATCGTTGGAATGTACGCATCGTCTAACCATAGTTTCCCAACCTTTTTCCAGATAAGAAAGTGGTTTCTACGGTTTCCACGGTTCGATTTAGATCCAATTCATTTGATCCCAGTTTAAAATGGAAATTTTGAAAGTCCCCTAAATCTCGTCGACGCAAGCATTGGGAAACTACAGCCTGAACATAGCACCCCCGAAGAGGAACACGCTCGTCCACTCGCACACCTCTATCTAATTACTTGCAGCTTACTTAGAGCCTCGAGATACACCTGGGTACAAGCGTCTCTCTTCGTTATGTACATGTTTAACGCGACTCGAGCATTCTAAATCATGAAGGAAAACTCTGCCTGACACCGTCCAGAGCCTTCATGGTCTGGGAGCTTCATCATCCTGCGAAGTACCTACAGCTTTAGAAAAGAAATATCGCGGAGAGAAATGAAAAAGAAGGCTCGTCTGTGATCCGGAAGCTCGTAGAACGCGTTAAGCTAAAGGATCCTTGGCTTCTGCCGCCGATTATTAACAAGATGGAAAGTGTCTTACACGGTATCGCCTCGGGACCTGGGTTTCTCTCTTCCTCGAAACCGTATCTCTACGCAACGACCTCCTGCTGCACGGTTTCTACTTATGCTATAAATACGCGGTGTGCTTGCTGCTGTGCTCCAGAGCAGCCAGCACGTCCTGCTTCTGTCGAACGTACAGTCTGCCCTTCTTCCAAGGGTTCTGCAACTGCAAAAGCCGGAAATCGTCCCTGAGACAACGCTCTCGAGCACCGATCACAGCCACCAAGCAAAAGTTCGGCAGCTCGTCGGACGTGTAAATGGGACCTTCCTGACCCTTCAGCACCACCGCCATGTTCAGTTGCTTCACCACCAGGTTCACCACCTCCCTCGCTGTTGTTCGAGGTGTCACGTGCAGCTTCAGGCTCGTTCCGGATGCCAGACCGGTCTCGTAGGCGGCGTAGACCTGGAAATACATAACGTTTGACGTTAGAGAACGGTGTCGGGCGAGCTCGACAGCTGACAGATAGATTCTGCTGTGAGGTGTCAGCGTTTGCGGTGACAATCAGCTGGTAGCACTCGATGCTTATAGTTGTGTGAGTTGGCGATAGGATCGAAACTTGTTACGATGGTAGATCGAAATGAGATTTAACTTGCTAGAGTGGAAATTAGTTGTCTTTACAGTAAGGTTTCCTAAGAATTAGGGTGACGGTGTGCATAGTGTTTAAGCTGAAAGAGGATAGCCTGACATGCTCCACTAGGACGACACATGAAAAGCGAAATGACTCGTAAATGAGCGGTACAAGCGCTAAAACGCTAGGCGGTGTAGCGGCTTACTCATATGTCTGCTACATCGGTCTGCACTAGAAGACCAAGTGAGAGCTGTGTTTAACTACAATCGGGTTAGACTTGTGTTCCCTACAAGGAAAAACATTATTTAAACTCAAGCGGTCGGATTTGAAACGAGTGTCCTGAGAATGCTTGCTTAGGGTAGGACAGTTCTTGTTCTAGTTACGTAGTGGATTATCGTGCCAGTGGATATCAAAATCATTCTGACTAATCGGAACATTCCTCTAAATACCAAGAGCATTGCACGACATTGTACCTTAATCTTGAGATCCATTGACACTTTGGTAACTCGAGTTAGAAAAGACTTCCAGGGTTTACTCAAACAGTGCAAGTACAGTGGACTCTGTAAGTGCAAGTTTTCTTTTTTTAAAGGGGAAACGTGTTATGAGGGGATCCACTGTACCAACTTTCATCCAATAACGCTAGTATCATTTCTCATGAAGAATTACAACAACCCTTCTAACCGCTAGGCTAACAGATTAATTAAGGAATGGAGGGTTATCTACCTGAAGGATGCCGGGCAAAGGAGCCGGCATCATGGTGGCCTCGTCCTTCTCCTCTTCCAACTGGCTCTCCAAAGAGCCAGTCGCCATGGATGCGACGCTGGCTGTGGGTTTGGCCGGCTTCCCTTTGCCCAGACTCTTTATACAGACGCTCGAGTTAGGCGTCGAGTACTCGTCGCTGCTCAAAGAGTGTAAACTGTCCGAGTTGGTGTTACTGACGCTGAGCAGGCTGGTGGTGTTGGTCATGGCGGTAGAGACGCTCAGCAGCGAGCCGCCGTAGATGATCGGCTTGATGCTGAGCAGAGGACTGGTGCTGGCCGAGGCGGACGTGATCGTCGCCGACCTATTCCTGGGGCTGTGTTTATATTTCGTCAGGATTAGAGTGTCCTCGGACTTGGAGGGCGGTAGCCTCGCGTTTTGCAACGGTACCAGATGGTTGTTGCTGCCACCGCTGGTCGTGTTGCTGAGATTGCTGGCGCTGCTCAGCGGCACCGACGATTTCGGGGGCTCAGAACCGGTGGACATGTTGGACGTGTTGCTGCCTTTGCGTATGTACTGACTGCTGGGCAGCTGTTGCTCGCTCTTGCTAAACTCTGTCGTCAGCAGGTTCGAAGATGAATTGGTCACGTTCGGTCCTGGCCAGCTGCCTCGACCTGGACTGGACTTGACGAGCTTGGGGTCCCGAGGCGGCAGCTGCAGCAAGCTCCTCTTCAGGCTGTTGCTGTTACTGTTGCTTTTGTTTCTATCTAGACTGAGCAAGTGCTTCATTGAAATCCCGAACGCCTGCGACGAGCCCTAAAATATAGTCTAAAGGTAACAATCGATTTCAGAAATCAAGAATTCTGTAACTCTTAATTCCTACTTACGCATTGCTGAGAGGATCCACGGTCCCTGGCGAACGTGATCGCGTCGATCAGCCACCTAGATCCTTTCCAAACCGTGTTCACCTGCGTCTGAAGATCCTGAAGCCTGGTCAGCTTGTCCTTCGCCACGCTCAGTTCCAAAGAACTGAACGCTTCTCTGTGGTTGTGCTGTGCCTGCGCCGTGTCCAACTCCAAGATACAGCTCAGTCTCGAGTATCTGTTGATCACGTCCTTCTGGTAGGTGTTCAAGTGGACCATCTCGAACACTTGGATGGGCAAAGATAATAGATCCCCTCTTTGCAGAAGTATCTCTCTGGTTCCGGGGACCGAACAAGCGGTCTCCGCTGGAGGAACGGCGATGAGAAACGACACGTCGTGAGTTAGATCGATGACCTCGGCGTCATAGAGTCGGTGGCAAAAGGTGTCTTCAGGATTGATCTCCATGTAATTGAATAGTCGTCTAGCAGTTGCTGCGACTAGGTCAACGAATAGTTTCTGCTGCTCGGTGCCTTGGCACTCGTTCGTCACGTTCTCTTTCTCTTCGGCGTCTTTGCCGGAGACGTCCGCCGCCTGCAGGCGGGTTATCCTTTTCAGGTAATCCCATTCTTCGCTGCAGTAAAGTAGAAACTCGTTTTTACAGGATACTCCGAGTAAACTCTGCTATCCACGATGATATACTTACGCGGACACGTGAGGATTATCACGGATTTTACAGTGAGGCAACACGTTGGGCGACTTCGCAGGTACTACGACCTGAATCAGGTCCACGCTGCTCTGCATCTTCAGGTAACCCAAGTACAGTCCTCTCGTCAGCTTAATGCTACTAACTTGATGGTACGTCATCTGTTCCTGTATACTAGATATCAGAATATCCGCCACGTTGCTCTCCTCGTGAGTGATCACCTTCTTGGTGACCTTGCTCAGAGGCAACCACCTGCTGTTTAATACTGAGATAATCTTCGGAGACTTCACGTAGTTCACTGTCGAGAAAACCAGGGTGCCTTGAACGTCCCTGATAGGTTTGTGGTAGAGTTGGCCGAGATCCTGTATGCAGAGCGCTGCCTGCAAGGATCGAATATACTTTAGCCACATCGATTTCTTCCTAATGTCTATATCCGAAAGAAGAATACGATTCGAAAGGAACTGACCTGCATCTGGGCTGCAGCTTGCAGCAGCTTTATCCTGAAATGATTGGTCGAGCTGTTGTGGCTCTTCTCCATGTCCTGGCGAAGGGTTTTCACGTCGTCCCAGGTGCAGGCCACCTTCATCAGCCAGTGGAAGTCGTTGTAAATACAACTGGGATAGGTCTCGTCAACCTCGATTACAGGTAAGAAGTCCTCGTTGGTCACGAGCACCTTGTCTTCGTGGTACAGCAGACAGGCGAGGAACACGCCGCGCCTCAGGTTCTTCTGGAACTTGCTGGTCGCCGAGAAGAGCTGTTTTATCGTCGTTTTCTTCTTGTGGTTGCGCCTCTGCACTGCCGGCGTCTCCTGCGTGTACTCCGGCCGTCTTATGTCCGTAAACAGAGTATTCAGCTGCTCCAGCCGGCCGGCAAACCTTGGCATTCTGCCATCGATGTCCCTCCAACCTGGAACAATGGACACTCTGTGTCTTAGAGTGCATCTTTCGCGCGCACCTTGTGTACACAGACTCTAATTCTGACTTGTTCGATCTCGAAGCAAAGTTGACCTATGCTACAGCGGATGCAGGAGTTTCATAGCTCGAAAACGATCTTACTGCTAGGAGTGACATGGGCGGGCGTCGAGTTCCTGAACCTGCTGTAGCCTTTCAAGTTCCCGGCAGCTGCGCGGAAGTGATACTTCTGTCCCTGGATCAGATCGTCGATCCTGCACTCTCGCTGCTTCATATCCAGCACCTCCCTCTCCCCGCAGATCACAGAGAAATCCTCTTTGATGCTCCATTGGACCTTGAACTTCGTGCAGATCGAGGAGTCGTGAGAATCCGGCTCCTGGAACCTCACCGTCACCGAGCTGGTCCCTGTGACGTCGACTGCGACCAGGAATGGCATATCCGGTGGCCCTGGAACAAACGCAAGTTTTTTATTTTTTAGTACAGTGACAATGCACGAGGTCTACGATCAAAATTATCAGAGAGAATCGAGCAAACGGTTTAGCGTTTTTTGCATTGCGATACTCACTCGCTTGATCAAATCCAAGAAGCATCTTCCTGAGAGCTCTCGCCCTCCTCTCCCACAGAGCAAGTTGCTTGTCCTCAGCACTGCCACCGCATCCCGTGAGATTGTTATGCTGCGAGGAAAAACTTGATCTATGGCTGCTCGGCGGCTCTAAAAGGGTGGTCCCGCCGCTACCGGAAGTGTTCCCGCCGAGCTCCTGGACCCTGTGCTCCGCTTCCGACAGCAACGAGGCCAGGTGACTGCCCAGTGACTCCGGGGACTTGACTGCGCGATCAATCAGACGACTTTCTTACAATCGGTTCCACTTGGAAACTTGTTCACAGGTTCCTAGGCCTACTCAACCCTTCGCGAGGACTTCGAGAAAATTAGTTCCAAGGAAAGAGGACAGAAGAAGGAAAATGCTGCTGGAAAAATTAACGAGGTCTCCTATCTATTGGCACCAGTGCACGATCGCACTGCCTGCGTTCTCCTGTATTATGGCATTATTTTTAACGAATGTTACAGCTAAATATGTCTGAATTTAATCGAACGAAGACGTCTCGAACGAGCGTAAGATACGTGCAAAAAGAAAGATGTAGAAGATTCAAAGGAACGTTCGCGGAAAATTCGAGAGGATCGAGGTGAGATCGGTCGTCGGGTACAAATTGGCTGACCCAATTTGCAGTCTGCACCGGGTCAAGAATCCTTGCCTTGTCGCTTTTCCACGTATGAATGAAGTTTATTAGACTACAGTCGCCGGAATTAGGAAGGAAACGAGCGATGAAATTGCGCGCGGCACACTGCCGAGAGAACGCGTAATCGGCTGAATTGTGCGAATCAGTGTCGGTTTGTTGTCATGGAACCGTGCAAAAAAAAACCGCCGGCTAATTGAGTCGATTCACCGGATGCCGATGTTTACCAATACGAAATGCTGCGGTGAATCGCGGAACAGCCGTCCGCAGTGATATCGTTTCATCGCGATTGTGCCGGCTATCGATTTCCAGTTTCCGTCGCGGCACGCACAAACTCGTCGAGAATTATACGACGACTTTCATCGGAACGTTGATGCGAGTTTAACGGACAGTAACGGGGGCCGAGCATAATAGAAAACGCGACTCCAGACAATTCGATTAACATTAATAACAATCGTTCGTGCCGGATGGACCGACGCTTTTCACGTTTCCGAATAAAATTATCGAACGGTCACGAACCGGAATGCGATTCCAATCGCGTGACGGCAACGAGCAGCACTTTTTCCAGCGATAGAAGCCGCAATTTAAAAAAACGGTTTAGCGGTTTCTTTATCCCTGTTCTGGCGTTCGGATGTTGATTTATCACTCGCGGATCGCTGTAATTTACGAGGCATGCGAAAATAAACGTACCGGCGTACGGTGCTTCTACCATCGCGTTTCCTCTTTCGGCGAACTCGGCGAGTGAAAATGAAGATTTTAATTCGGGAGACTTGAACGCCTGCATGAAACAACCTCGCGCCGTTCGTGTCCCCGTGAAACGGCGCGCATAGGAAACGCGAAATGAAAATATCTCGCGAAAGTGGTCGCGCCGAAGCTCCCAACAAATTGCTCGAATCGCCTAAGCATCCGCGATCTAATTAGCCGTCTTAATGAAACGCTTTAATCAGTCACGATTATTTACGCGAGCGCGCACGCGCGCTCGCCGAACAGTGTAACGTTGCATCCAACGGAGCACAGCTCGCCGTTTGTTGCACCAGCGAAGTTATTAAACGGAACGCCCGCCTTGAATCGAATCGACGAATTGCATTCCGACCGTTTAATGCGCCGACTTTAAAAGCTTCTCGCTGCAAAGGATTCTAATTCCAATCGGGTTGCACTCGACCCCGTGCTTCCATCGGAACGAAACGCCGTGTGCGAGACATCGGCGAGAAGCATCGGCGATTTCCGAGGAAAATAAAAACTTGCGTTTGCAGCAAGTCTTCGATTAAAGCCGCGAGATAAATAGTTCCATGAAAATCTAGACGGGCGTTCGCGTCTGCCATTTTATTTTTACACGCCGCGATAAACCTTGACGGTACTTTTATTGCGGCCTGCGGAATCCTAATTGAAATCCCACCCCGTTCGACGATCTCGCCCTTCCCTCGTTCGGTTTTCCTACGAGCCAGCAATTTTTCTTCGGGACACCGATACGATCGATCGAGTGTTTCGTCGCGGCCCGCTCCTCCCGGAATACATTTACGAAATCAATGCGTCTCGTAAAACGACTCTGCAATTATTTCCTCGCGGAACAGAAAGAATCGTCGTCGATCGAAACCATACGTCAACCGGTTTCCGCGCTTTTATTTTTCACGGCGGACATTCGAGCGGGAAACTCGCGGCGGCGCGGAACAAGAAGCAAACGTGAAATAACAATCTGCTCGCCTTCATGCTCCGCTACCGAACTTGTTAAAAGACCATTGTTGGCGCAATCCGAGTCGCGATTGCGGGCCAAAAATTTGTGAAAGGAGCGCAGGAAGCACCGGACACGTTGCACGCTGTTATTATAAGTCGACGAAACAATGTTGGACGGCTGTTAGTCGCGTGCAATTAGAAAACTATAGAAAGCTGAAATCAATCTACCGCGCTGTTGTTTCGATGTTCGAATAATCGAGAGCCTACAATCATTGAAGTATTGTTTACTTCGAGAGAAACTGTTCGCACACATTCAAGTATTATTTGTTGCGGTCTACCAACGATTTCATTATCTAAATTGCTGTCGGACGAAAACTTATTTCCATCAGAATTTATAAAAAGATTAACAGCCGCCGAGATTTATGTTTAGGCGCGTTGTTTCTGCTCCGCGACGTCGTTTCCAATTACCAAAATGGAAACGTTCGGAAGCTTTCCGTGGAATCGGCGAGTGTGAAAGGAAAATGATGGGTTGTTCCATCGCCGTTAGGGGATTGAAACGGCCGTTCGAAAAAAAGGGTGATTGGATGGAACGGAATTTGTAATTGAACTGGTAGACACTTACATTGGTTGCCCTCCTGCGCGCCGAACGCGACCAACATTTTTGCCAGCGGCCTATTGTTGCTGAGCACCGCGACGTCCAGGGCCGATAGACCGTCGCTGTTCACGCTGAAAACCCAATTGAAGCTGTCGTCAGTTGCGGGGAGACGTTAATTGGACAATTTAAGCAGGATTCAAGTTTTCGTTCCTATTCCGCCCGGCGAAACGCCGCGTCCCCTCGCTTAAACCGACCATCGTCGAATGATTCACTGAACTCTACCGAGAAACATCATCATTAAACGTTTAGGCAGAATTTGTTGACTCGCTCGTTTGAGGCCTCGCTACCTTGTCGCCTATAAAATGGCCGTCGCCGATTTACAAAATCGCCCGAGGACCGTTCAAAAACGAATTCCATGAAGAAACAGCATCGACGCGGTTTCTTCTCGTCTGCGTGCTTTATGCACACGTGCATGCAATCAAGAGCTGAATTAATCTAAATTAGAATATTATTCCAACCGGAGGAAAGAGATAGGATCAGCAATTTTCTGTTTCATTCTAATTACGTCGGAGCAAGATTAAAAGGATCTCGAACGCGATCTCAGTTTCTCTGAATTTCCCCGTTTCATTCCGGTGGTCGATGAATTTTATAAATTTGTCGAGGTTTATGCGACGCGCGGGGATCCGTAGAATATAATAGGCTAACTGCGAAGAAATCTGGGACAAAAGCGTCGACGCCGAGGCCGGTGGAATTGCAATTCGGCGCAGTGGAAGAGGTGCATAGTAATCCGCGCGAAAATTCTATACGGCGATCCCCACGCGGAAGACGGCCGATTGCGCCCGTTTCCGCGAGGTAATCGCCACCAATTTCGTTCCGGCATAAACTAGCTCCCGCGAGCTACCATTAGCGAACCGGGACAAAGGGAGGTGAAGTGAATAAACGGATTATCACGGCGGAGAATGGACATTCAGCGGCGATTACGATGCAACGGTGACGCGAACGTCCGATTCGCAGATACGCCGAGCGGGGGATCTTTCGTTTTCGATCGACAGGATCGATGCGCGCTGGCACGATCGAAGATCGAGAACACTAGCCCGGGTCCACCAATTTGCAGAACGAAGATCGATTCGACTCGAACCACCGATCGGTACTTCCAAAGCTTTCCGGAGCCTTCGTCGCAACCGCGAGGACCGAGGAAAACTCTTAATTTTCACACCCTGCTCGGAGGAACAAGATCCACGGTGAAGTTTCTCCAACTTCTCAACTTTCTTTTTACTTCCACCTCACTTCGTCTACTTCTTCTTCTCTGGTCGAAAGGCCAACTTCGCTGCGTCGTTTCCAGAAAAAGAAAGTTCCCTTTATTGTCACAGTTGCAATGTCCTCGGGCGTAATATAAAAATTTATCTCCGCCACGGTACGCAAGACGTCGATTTTCAAAACAAGAGCGTTCTCTTTGCAGCTGCAATTTAGTCGTTCGGTAGGAAATCTGGAGAAAGGTCTTGTAAACATCTACGATTTCAAGAAAGTCTACGTGTTCCTTGCACTGTCGCGGTTACGTTTACCCATTGTTTTATGGAATATTAAAAGCAGCTGTTTTATACTAGCTTCTAAAAGTAACAATACGACGTTTATTCCGATTTCGAACGAGTGCTATTATAACATTTCCCGCAAGTAACACATGTATTGAACAAATGTATCATTGCAATCTGAATAGTCGTAAATCGGCAAATTAGTGACCCGTCATTTTTACGGATTCCATAAACCTAGTACAGCAATTTTTCTCCGCGAATGACTCTGCCACGCTAACACCAAATGGTTCTCCCGTTTATTAAATAAATAAATAAATAAAAAAGAAGTATCATCTATGAAGTAAAGTAGTAGGTATCGTTGATCAAGAGTAGAAATACTATTTGAAAAAGGAACTGGCCTTTTGAGTCCGGACCTCCGCATTCTTAGAAAAGGGATTCGATCCCGAGCGTCGTTATCGTCGGCTCGATTAAAAAGCCTGGATTTTCCTCGAGGTAGCGGAGCCAAGCGGATGGAAAATCAATGAATTCTTTTCTCGGCGATGGTGGCCAGAGGCTCGACGACAAGGACCCTGGCGGCGTAAATGAGTTACGGGCTGCCGATCGAGGCTGGGGATCGTTCGACGGAATATCTACGACTGTTCGTCCGGTCGACGAAATCAAATTATCGGCCGGCAATTGCTACGTATCCAGCATGCCTTCTGTCACCGATCGATAGGATTAGCGAGGCAACGGCGATGTGCACGCGCGGACTCGACACGTACGACGATGTTCCGCGAGCACGGTAATTAACGCGACGAGCGGAAGGGTCGTCGCGACGCCCACGAATCGAATCTCACGGTTTCCGGCGACGCGATTACGATTACGCGAGTCGACGCATCGCAACAGTCGCGACGCCTGATCGCCGACAGAAATTCTTGATCAAGGAGAATCGAGAACGTCGGGGAATCTAATGGAAGGATAGTTGCTCGATAAAGCAAGTAGCTTTGCAATGAACAAGCTGCGGATCTTAGTGCTAGCTAAAAAAAGTCCAAGTTCGTTCTAACAGACACAGCTTGGACGACGATGTCCGTACTTTTAGAACGACTGTAACGAATTCATAATAATGTAACAATAACCTTAGACTCTTTTAATGTCCTTACAGTTTATCCTTTGACCGGTTACGGGGGCGTAGTTACGGGGTTTTACGAGCGAGTGCCAATGAAACGAGAATTAAATGCTGCGACGACTCTGTCGACTGATAGAATCTTTTTATAGCGAAGAAGAATGGTGAAAATATTTTGCGAGAATCGAGGTTGAGAGGTTCGACTGCAGTTCTTCCGATTAATAAAATTTTTTATCGGGGAAAAGGAATAAAGCTAGGAGTTGCAACGCGGTTTTACGAGTGGATAGTAATGAAAGCCAGCGGTGATTAAAGTTCGGCACGGCTCGTAAAAATGTCTCGACGTGTCGAGTTGTCCCGACGGAGCATTTAGCGAGCCCGATTTTATGAAATCGAGGTAGGGTTCGGTCGATTTACCCGACCGCGGAGCGACCAAGAATCGATGGAGAATGTATGCGAGCTTTATGCTTCATTTTTTTCCGAGGACAGCGGAACGAATGGGTATTGGCTGGATGAGCGAGATGGTGAGAGACCACCGTGCCATTATTTTACGTGTGAAACAGTGAGCTTTTCTCTGGCTCGACGCTTCCGACATCCGCGTTTTACATTTTTACATAAAGGACGAACTTTTACCTTTTTTTCCCTTTTTTTTCTTTTTTGAAAAATTCCGAATCGACAGATTAGTTTTGCGGAGAAAAATTGGCGACTATCAGGAATGAAATAGCGAGTCTCAGGGGGAAATTTTTCGAAAAATGCCATCGTTTGGTACCCGAAAAAATAACAAATCGAATTTCAATTTTTATTGAAATCGACGAGAGCTGCAGCGGCACCGTGCAAAACTCTGTTTTAGAAAAAAGGGGGGCGAATCGATCCGACACCTGGAAATAGTAACACACGAGGAGTCGAACGGTTGTCGTTCGATCGTGGATTAATTAGCTTGTTTTCTAGGACAGCCGAGGAAATTAATTACGAGCTGCAATTAACCTAGATCGCGACCACGTGGAGTGCCACTGTCGGCCATTCCGTCGCGTTTCAAATCAGCGCGTGACGTCGCATAATTTTTCCAATTCGTTACGCCATTTCTTCCATGGAGAACATTCTGATCCACGAGAAGCCGACAAACCAATGAATTTAGAGAATCATTTACAGAGAGAGAAAGGGGACACGGAAAACGTTCGCCGATCAAGAGATCGTCGAATCTGCTCACCTGTTCACGTCCACGTCCGTGGATTCCAGAATGCTCCGGGCTTTGTCCAGGTGTCCATGTTCCACGGCTGCGAAGAGAGCTGCGATTGAACAGAAAGCGCAATAAATTAATTCTCGTCGCAGAGATGGAGAGAGAAAGAGAGAGAGAGAGAGTGAGGGACCCGGTCTCACATATCTGTAACCATCGAAGCGATTATTTTCGCAGCTCAAAAAGAAATCGATCGGAAAAAGCAAACGAGCTTAAATTGAATCACGAATTCGGATTCGCTGGGAAATGGGACGCGATGGGTGAGGATCGATGGAACGGGACGCGACCGGAAAATTGTGTTTAAACTCTGGTCGCCGAGGATTAAATAAACAGCGGATCGAATAACTCAGAAATCAATAGAAATAAAAAAAGCAAACAGAAAATACCATGCAGATGGATGTTGAGGGACTGTGCCGACAGGGGATTGATGTGCACCGACGATACGCTATTCGGCTGATTCGGTTGCTGCTTTTTCTTGCCGAAACCCTCCAGGAACTCCATCCCTTGCAAAGAGTACAACTCTGCGGGAACATAAACAACAGAAACTGAATAAAGATGAGCGAAGGGAGCATAGCTTTACGGGCGGCGCCCTCCCTCGCCATAAATAAACAGACAAAAGGAATAATAAAAGCATATATAACGCGATCCTGGTTACAGTGGATTCGAAACAAACGAAATAGATCGCGGACTTGAAAACGCGGCCATTCCGTTCGGCGTTTCGCATAAATGACACTTCGTTTGTACGGCGAGATACCAAGGAGAACGGTCTGGATAAAATGATGGTACGACGCGAACCGGAGGATATCTTTTTCTCTTCTCCCTTTGCGCGGAGAAGCGCTCGATAACAGACCCCTCTACAAAGGGCTTTGGAAATTTTTATACTTCCCCAGTGTCGCAATTAAAATTTGTTTCAGCTCAAAGGTGGCGGTTCGACGCCGTATGCAGAAATTCTACGGGGTGGCCTCGTGGAAACCGGGATTCAAATCCAATTTATTCTTACCCGTTTACCACTTATTTTTCTTACTTAGACTTTATTACGAGCTCAAAGACACCCTCTGTAATAAATCCGGAACAGGAAAATCGCTCGACTCGGGTAACAGCTCTCTTCTTACTCGAATGTCTCACTTATCCTCGCCGGTGTTCCATCCTAAGCTCGGAGACACCCGGTAATTAATCTCTACCAGGAAGCTTTCTACCGAATCCAATTTCTGTCCCACCATATCGGAGCACGAATCTCCGCCGTAAAATTCTAATTCCGCGAGTAATCGGAGATAAAACCGTGGCCGGCTTCGTGAGGGTCACGGCGTCACGTTAAAAACCTGCTGTGGTTCCGTACTTGTTCCCGAAGTGGTCGCAACGAGGATCCTATCTTGTCCGACAGCCTCCCGGTCCCTCGAATCCTTGATCGACTTCTTCCTGCCCACGGAGACTTTGCTGCGGAAGCTGCCGCCGCGGGCGTTCGACCAGAAGTTGGCGAAATTGTCGACGGTCCTGATCCTGCAGGACCTGGACGAGCACACGGTGGCTTTCCTGACGACATCCGGCGACTTCCGCTCCAGATCCTCGACAGTCGTTATCAAGGAGTCGAAGGTGTCGACGTTCAAGTCGAGGCTGACGGCTCCTTCGTCCTGGAGAACGACGTCGTTCACCGACAGGCTCCTGGCCTTGGATCCTACCATCAGAGGACGATCGCAGTTGCCTGTGTCTCTTCGATAGACGAACTTCTCCTCGCAAGATCTCTGGGGATCCACGAGGACGGTCAAGCCTGGATCCTGGCCAGACTTCTCCGGGGAATCGTTCTTGCAGTCGTCCTCGATGCAGCGATCCAAGCTGCCGGGCTCGAACAAGAAGCTCGAGACGGAGGAGTCCAAGGAGCTGTCCAGGCAGAAGGTAGGATTCTCGTAGGACACGCGGTTAGGATGACAAACGTCCTTCCTGTCGCAGCAGGACGAATTCCTCGTCTCCTCGCAGCTCTTCCAGCGGAAAATATGCGCCACTTTCGGCGACATGGGGTTGTTCGCCGGCTTCGACGGTTTCTCGGGCTCCTTGCGGCTCTTCCTCATTATCCTGTCCGTCAGACACAATTTGCTTTTCAGCTCCTTGCTGATTTTCTGCGACTCCAGCTCGTTCTCGCTCGTCGAACGCCTGGCCCCGCCCTCGGGCGGCCCGTTCGCGTTCCTCGGAGGATCGCCCGAAGGGTGCTCCGTGTTGCGGGCAGGGCTCGAGGACTCCTCCACCAGGGATAACTGTTTGTTAGGACGTTTCCGATCCCGCTGATCCCGCACGCTCACCGGGGACAAATCAAAGCCGGCGTTCAGACGCAGATTCGCGTGCGCCCGTAGCTTCGACATCAGCTTCAACGACGCCCGGAAGGATCTCGACCTTTTCAGGGTCGACATCCTGTCGCCCGACGACCGCCTCGAGAGCAATTCCATCTTCGGGCTGGACGACGAGGATTTGTGAAATTTCATCTGGACGCGACCTTCGGTTCGCCGGCGATTCCCCCTCGTCCGATATCCCGATATCCACGGAATTTACCAACGATCTGTGCCCAAGACGAATCCTTCAAATTTTTGCCGCGCTATTTTTAGCCGGGATATTCTTGGAACTCGTCCCTTGTTGCGCAACCCGAAGGGATAGCTCGAATATTTCTTAAAAATTGTTTTATGCACTTGGATTTTATCTTCTAGGTTTGTTTAAATATATAGTTTTAGATTGGTCCTCGACGTCGATTACCGGTCCGAAAAGTTTCCTAGAATTTCTACATTATTTCTAGAATGATCTTTCAACGGTCCCTTTACGTTAGGTTCGCTACGTCGACGTGCCGAATTTCCATAATTCGCGCATCGTTGCAGCCTTACGAAAATTGCACGAAGCTCCGGAATATATTGTTTGCGATCGTCGGCACACTTTCACTGAAACTACCCGGTAATCTATGGTCCCAAGCTTTCTCTCTTGTCTCTCCGTGATCCTCCCGCTCGACGATCCGATTAAATATTCTCTGCATATGTACAAGTATATATTATTTCCGCGTCTCTTTGGCAAAGAAAGTCTTTAGTCTCGTCCCTGGCGTCTTCTTTGGCGCGAAGAAGCTGAAAAAGAAGCACTTTTGCAGGCGCAGAAGGATCGAAACGGGCACGGTCAGCTCTTTCTCTGTTTGGAAAACACGACTAGTATACATCGGTTTCTTAGAACGCGGTCTGGGAACGGCGCGACGCGAATCTGCTTCGTCGTCCGTTAAGGTCTAGACCGATCAAGGCCTTGGAAACCATTTCGCAGTTAACGTAGACGCATAAATGTTCCCGTCGCCTCTCGCCGGAGGACGTAAAACTTAAAAACGGTATCCCGCGTTCCCCATCGGAGCTTGATGGTCCTCTTTATGGCGCAGTTAGAGACAGCGACGCGGGCAATCTCGGCTCTCCGGTTAACAATCCGAGATGCTCCCGCTTGGAAACAGGAGTGTCTTGTTGCGCCATACACCGCGTTTCCATGAATGAAAATTGCGAGTAAACGGCGCGAATCGCGTTGCAGAGCCGAGCGAGAAATCCAACGAGCCGGGACAATTGCGAATTCCATATAGTTCGCCCATCGGAATCTTGTCTGGCACGCGCGAATCACGACGAAAACGCGCTCGAGAAGGGTGCACCTGCGGAACGTTAAACGTTCCTCCGATCGAAATCTTAATTAAGAGAAACGTAGAATTGCGAATTTTCCGAATTCATCGAATCGACGAGACGCGGGGAGCTTCGATCTCAGCGAGACGAGGCAGCTGCAAATTTTGCAAGTTTCGTCAATTAAAATGTTGATCGCAGCGAGCGAGATCCGCAGAGACAGCATCCGAAGTCGCAGCATCCGGAGGCAATGCAATCTCGAATCCCATTCGATGCAAAGACTTCCCTAGCCGTGAACGAAGAAACTAGAATATTTGCGAGAGAACTACGAACTTTGAAAAGTTTTCTCGAACGAAGCTCGCAGGAGAATACAGAGATCTCTGGGATTCGATGAAGAATCGAGATTTCGAGAGAGCAGGAGATCGCCGCATTTAAATCGGAGCCCCTATAGCACCACCATAATTCTCCCGTCCCTAATTCCGCTCCAACGAAGTCAGTTCGAGCCGTGCAATAATTCACCGGAAAGAGAACCACCGTAAACAGTTTCACGTCCACGATTCGGTGGAACCGGTCTTCGTGGCGATCGACGGTTCCTACGGGCACACGTGAATCGATTTGCGAAAGCGGGGGCGTGATCGAGCCGCGGACGATCGAGCCGTGGACCGCGGGAGACAATGGGTCCGCTTTGGTGCGTGTCGCACGGAGGACTGGGACGATTTTATTATTTACTTAGCGGCGAGCGAGCCGGCCCACAATTGCCCATTACGAAGAAGTGGCCTGAAACGTCGCCTCTTCCTCCTCGAGACGAGCGTGACAATTTGTTAGGCCAATGAAATTTATTGCCGCGTCCGTGGTCCGGCAAGATCGGGGGCGGGATCCACGAGAAGATCGAGGTAAACGTACCCGTACCGAACGGAGATCGATTTCTCGTGCCGTCGATTCGCAACGGTGCGCAACCGTCCGCGATGTTATTTTATCAATTGGAGAATCTGAACGCAGAATTAAACGAGATCAAATCGTGCACGCCCGCTCGTGTACGCAAACATAAAATCATTTCTGGCGAATTGTTGGAGAAAAAAACGATATGTATTCTGCCTCGATGAAGCTTCATGCAATCGACGCGAATCATTTATACGATTAATTCGAATCGCTGTTATTTGAATAAAATATTCGACTAAACGGTACGCATTCGGATGATTATCTGAAATAAATACTTGCTCGAAACAATTCGAGTAACGGCCAACGTCGGAACAGATTCATCTCTTTGGAGCAGAACGTTCTATGAAGTTACTTATTCGATTCTGAACCGCAGAATCCGGATTTGGGACCACCAGGCAAACACAGATTATCGGGACAGAGATTGTTTTCTTGGTTCCGGGAACGGCGGATGTGTAACGGAAACGCTGCAACTTGGGTTACGATAATTGGAAGCTGGTCAATGTTTGTCTTTCGTGTTGCATATACCGGCGTCGAGAACGATCCGGCCCACCCCTCGGACCCTTTGATGCAGCGAAACCACCATAATGCAAGCTGTTATTCTAGACACTAGTGAACCGAGGGTGCAGGAACTTCGGTGGATCGTAATATGGGAGAAACGTGAGATTTTGGGCTTGACAGTCGCATCGCGAACGTTCCGAGATGTGAAATTCAAGCGGACGAAACGTTTCCCAGTTTCTTGGAATTTCGGAAATTACCATTGTACTGAAAAATTGATATTTATGGCAGCGCGGACGCTGCAACTCTCGTCGTCGAAATGAAATAGAAATCGAGAATTGAAGAGAGAACAGAAAATTCGTGAAAATATTTCGAGCGATATATCGAGAAACTCGCGCGCGAGAAATTTCTCTAACTGAAAAATTAACCCTTTGCCCTCGAGTGACGACTCTGAGGCGCCACTGAAATTGTTATATCATGTTCCACGATAACTTTCATACTATCAAAGCATAGATTGAAGAAATCTAAATTAAAAGTGTAACTGTTATACGAGTCGCAAAACTCAATTTCATACGCATAAAGTGAATTTTATTATACAAAGTAATAACTCTGACAATAAGTTAAACAAATTATTTTAGATTTACAGTTAAAATGGCTTCGAGTGCAAAGGGTTAACAGAGACACGAGTAAAAGTCTGCCAACGTTTTCTCTGGACCCTGCATCCCCTGGTTCAGCGAATAAAAAGCGAAAGGATTAATCTCGACAGTCTCGAACAGCACTAATTCAATTCGAGGATGCTCGGAATCAAATGGAGACAATTGCAGCTCGTTTCCCGAGCCCTTAACGGACGAAGCGGAAACGCGAGTATGCAACGGCGAGGTTTAAAAGGACGGAAGTAAGCGACCCCGATAAAAGAAGATTCGTGGAAACGCGATCGTGGAAATTCGACGTGGTTTAATGGCTAATCGGTCACCGGGGAGCAGAGGAGGGAGCAAACTGTTCGAGGATGAAGCGAACGGAACACGGGGCGTCCGAGAAGCGTTTCTTATCGACACAATAGCTTTCTGTTGGCGAGAGTAGGTGGCTCGATTCCTATTAACAATGGAAATCTGTTCGAGATCGGTCGATAGAAGCCCTCTCTCTTTCTAGATTCTAGGAAATCTAATGACCGAGGCGTTATCGCGTAGCCAACGACGCAGATAGATAGCCAATCAAGACGATACGTGGGATAATTGTGCAAACGAGCCCGGACGAGTGCATGTTAAACAGTGGCGAGTGTAGCGTAGTATTATAAATACATCAACGATTAGATAGTCCGATGTTTTCGACGGAACGACGACGGGCAGATGGTCGAATTCAAAATGTTGATTAATGGTCGTGGGGAATTCGTGCGTTCGTTCCGACAAATCTCTGCGCCGCATTTCTTAATTCGCGGTCGCGTTGATTGTACGCTCGCCGAAGTATTTTTGCTTCGGACTCGTTATTACGTTCGATAGGAGAATTAGATATTCATCGATTGACCGGTCGTAGCGTTAACGAGGAAAATGAAATTACAGAGCAACCGCGGGCACCGTGGTTCAATTAATTAGGGTACGTAGGTGCGCGAAAAACAGCGGGCCGCTGATTAACCGTCGGAAAAAGGAAAGGAAAGTCGGTCTGAACGCGGAGAAAAGAAACGCGCCCGTGTCGTTGGCGCACTTGAATCGATCGAGCGGAATAAAACCGCTTCTCGCGATTACAAATTGGAGTTCGTTAGAAGTTAACGAGGTAATTACGGGTCTGCGGAATGATAATGGGATAATTAGAGCTCGGCTAAATAAACNAGCGATATATCGAGAAACTCGCGCGCGAGAAATTTCTCTAACTGAAAAATTAACCCTTTGCCCTCGAGTGACGACTCTGAGGCGCCACTGAAATTGTTATATCATGTTCCACGATAACTTTCATACTATCAAAGCATAGATTGAAGAAATCTAAATTAAAAGTGTAACTGTTATACGAGTCGCAAAACTCAATTTCATACGCATAAAGTGAATTTTATTATACAAAGTAATAACTCTGACAATAAGTTAAACAAATTATTTTAGATTTACAGTTAAAATGGCTTCGAGTGCAAAGGGTTAACAGAGACACGAGTAAAAGTCTGCCAACGTTTTCTCTGGACCCTGCATCCCCTGGTTCAGCGAATAAAAAGCGAAAGGATTAATCTCGACAGTCTCGAACAGCACTAATTCAATTCGAGGATGCTCGGAATCAAATGGAGACAATTGCAGCTCGTTTCCCGAGCCCTTAACGGACGAAGCGGAAACGCGAGTATGCAACGGCGAGGTTTAAAAGGACGGAAGTAAGCGACCCCGATAAAAGAAGATTCGTGGAAACGCGATCGTGGAAATTCGACGTGGTTTAATGGCTAATCGGTCACCGGGGAGCAGAGGAGGGAGCAAACTGTTCGAGGATGAAGCGAACGGAACACGGGGCGTCCGAGAAGCGTTTCTTATCGACACAATAGCTTTCTGTTGGCGAGAGTAGGTGGCTCGATTCCTATTAACAATGGAAATCTGTTCGAGATCGGTCGATAGAAGCCCTCTCTCTTTCTAGATTCTAGGAAATCTAATGACCGAGGCGTTATCGCGTAGCCAACGACGCAGATAGATAGCCAATCAAGACGATACGTGGGATAATTGTGCAAACGAGCCCGGACGAGTGCATGTTAAACAGTGGCGAGTGTAGCGTAGTATTATAAATACATCAACGATTAGATAGTCCGATGTTTTCGACGGAACGACGACGGGCAGATGGTCGAATTCAAAATGTTGATTAATGGTCGTGGGGAATTCGTGCGTTCGTTCCGACAAATCTCTGCGCCGCATTTCTTAATTCGCGGTCGCGTTGATTGTACGCTCGCCGAAGTATTTTTGCTTCGGACTCGTTATTACGTTCGATAGGAGAATTAGATATTCATCGATTGACCGGTCGTAGCGTTAACGAGGAAAATGAAATTACAGAGCAACCGCGGGCACCGTGGTTCAATTAATTAGGGTACGTAGGTGCGCGAAAAACAGCGGGCCGCTGATTAACCGTCGGAAAAAGGAAAGGAAAGTCGGTCTGAACGCGGAGAAAAGAAACGCGCCCGTGTCGTTGGCGCACTTGAATCGATCGAGCGGAATAAAACCGCTTCTCGCGATTACAAATTGGAGTTCGTTAGAAGTTAACGAGGTAATTACGGGTCTGCGGAATGATAATGGGATAATTAGAGCTCGGCTAAATAAACAGCGGACTGATTTGTCCTGGACCCTGTAACGACGGCGGGCATCGACGAACGAACGAATGCAATTTTACGTTTACGAGACATCGATCGACGAAATTATTCCATGGAATATTCTTACGCGAATATAAATCCGCCGAAATCCGCGAATCCGCGTGAATCGGAAGGTATCGAAACAAGGAGTCGATAGCTAATTCGCCGAACCGCTGATTATAAATCTCGAGGCGATCGATGCTTGCACAGCTCCAAAAGGACAACCGTTTAATTTATTAATCCATCGAGCTTTAATAGCTGCTAATCGGTCCCGAACAACTTGCTAATAGGACTCGATTAATACTTCAGTAATCGGAGAACCATCAACAGAACCGCTTCCTCCGCTGTTTAATGGACGCAATACCACGGACTCGGTACATTCCGCCTCTCCTCCTCCTTCTCCTCCTCGAGCGTTAAACTCCTGATATTCGACTCGTCCTCAAGGATCGCCGCCGATCGATGGATCCCGGCGAGAGGAGAAACCCGACAACGAGAAACAAAGGGGAAGAAAAAGACGGCAGCACGAGCGCGGCCCACTGCGTCCTGTTTCAACGCCCATTGTGCTAATAACCGCTAACAATGCTTCCGTTTCCCCATTCTACTCCGCGATTACTGTCTCACGATCGTTGCCGAGGAAGATCCCGTTGGCGCCCATTTCGCCCCGGGATTTTGCAACGAGTTAAGGATCGAAGTTTCGATTCCTGTTTCAGTCGGAAAATTGCCTTGCTCGGCTAATTGGAAATCACTAGCTTCGCTCTGCTCGTGTTCCCTGTCGCTCGAAGATTTGTGCCCGAGTAAAAAGCCTCTACTCGATACATTCGTCGGGCGTAGCAACGAAAAAATGTTCTGCCTTTCAGGCAACTCGCGAGTGCGCTGCAATTTTATTTCTTCATCGCCTTGATCCTTTGACTATTGGCTCATTCAACCAGTTAGTCGTGGCGCCACATTTCCAAGCGATGACGAGTATACTCGTCGGACACAGCTAACTGGTTAAGAAACTCAAACAAACGTTCCGATGCTTTCTTGTTCTTCAAGCTTTATCTCAATTACCGTGTCTATTCTAAGAAGAATCTTAGAAACTTTCTTGATAATCAAAAAAGATATGATTCGCGTTGCTAGGATGACGCATCGTAAATTCTCAAAAATTATGGGTTTGTTATCGGTGGATGACGCGTTAACAATGCTGCATTTCGATTGCGTACGGTTTTCAGCTAGCTGCAACGGTTGCCGCGAGATTATCGCGTCGCAAGAGGTTTATGGCTTCGGATAATTCAGGATAAAAGAATTTATTTAGGATAAACGAATTTATCTAGAATAAAAGAATTTATTTAGGATAAACGAATTTATTTAAGATAAAAGAATAACGAAGGAAACAAAAGCTGGCGAACGAGAAGGATTTTGCCAACGAATCGTTCCGGAGCTAGATTTAGCCGTTTTTTCTTCCGCGTTGCAAAATAGTTAATTGCAGGATCGCTAGAAAGTTGCGAAAAATTCGATAGCGTGGCTGAATAGCCAGTTTTTGAACGGGAGGTCGATAATCTCGGAAACGGATGCGCGCAGACGATAGAAAGCGCCGATAGAAAGGGAGATTCGGAGGGGCACGGACCGGGGCCCCGATTTCGATCCGCGGATATTACTTTCCTCGTCGAGGGGGAGAAGGGAGGGGGGTACACGAATGAAATTAGGACTTTTACTGCTTCCTCGGGCAGACGGCGCTCCCGGCCGCGGCCATTAAGAGAGCGCTAATGAAAGTGGATTATATTAAAGAAAATTGCGCGCCGCGTTTTCTTCCGTCACTTCGGGGAAAGACGTGTAAATCTGGCCGGGTGGAACGAGCCACGCGGTGCCGCGGAAAAGGGAGCAACGAACACAAAAAGTGCGAGAGAAAAGAGAATGGGAGGGAACGGCAGAGAGGGGAAAAAGAGCGAAAACCGGAGGAACAGAGAGAAGAGGTTGCTTTGAAATTGTAATAACCGGCGCGGCGCGCGCAAAGAGGGCACACATCGTCGAACGAGAGATACGAGGCCGGGGTAACGAGAAAGAAACGCGAGCGCGGCTAATAAACGAGCACCCAGACACCGTCGTTTGCTATCCAACGTACGATATGGCAACGAGGATCCTGGCCGGTCCCAGCGACGCGGAAATCCTGACCAGCTCGATACCCGGGAACGAAACCAGATCCAGACACCAACAGACCAATTTATTCCTGAATCGTGCAAACAGAGTCCTTCGCCGATAAACCAGGACTCTTATTTTTCCCCAGACGTCGTTACTCCCTTCTAACAATATCGGCAATTCTGACAATTCGATGAAAATCGGAACTCAGAAACCGAAGAGTTTCTCGTGCGAAATAAGAATTCTCGCAGACTCTGCATCGATCTATCCCGCGGGAAAATATGGTTTTATAATGGAACGAGACGCGCCGGCTGCAAACAAACAAACAAACCACTCGGACAAATAGCAATTAAATTGTCCCGGGTCTCCTGTCCACGCTCGATATTTACCTCCCTTTTCACGGGGACGGCCCCGTTATGCCTTCGATAAACAACGATCCGCTTCATCCGCGACGCGGGTTACCGTTCCTCGACGTCGTTAATACGTATCGGTGTTCCGTAACGAGACCTGAACCGCCGAGTTAATGAACCGATCCGGGAAAAACCGTACGGAAACGGAGCGGAGATGGCCGTCCATTGAATCGGCAAGAGCAGCTACGGAAACCTCTGCGGAACTGCTGATCAAATTAGATTTTGCGATGCAAGGGGTTATGGATAGTTTGCGGGAAATGGTCTAAGATGATTGGACGATGGACTTCGCCAGATACAGCGAATTCTCCTTCATTGATTAGATTGTGCACAAAAATGGACAATTTGGGGAGAGGAGATACGATTATTCCCAAATTGCCCATTTTTGTGTACGATCTAAGCGTCAATTAGGGAGAATTTACTATATAAATTTGCTGCCTCTAAATCTATTATCCGTGGCAAATATCTAGTTCTCCATTTTTTAAAGGAAATTTGGTGCAAATTCGACAAGGCCAGAGTATTGTTCGCGAAAACTAGAAAAGTCGAGAGGACCTGGGAATCTATCATGTTCAAGGCAGTTAGGATCTCAGCAGTACAATGTACCCTTTGAGTCTGCGTCCTTATCGGTAGACTGGCCGCGATAAGCAGCAATATCTTACTTCCTCTCCGGTTCTTTGACATCGACTGACGCCTTCTTCCGGTTCCGAAACTGTACGAATCAACCTGAGACGTTCCCCGGACGAACTCCGAAGGACGTAACGCGAAGGTGCAATTAAAACGCCGAGTGTTTTATAAAGAGATAACTCGGACTTAAGGATTTCGTGGAGGATCTGTGGTATCGTGGCTATAAGAAATAGCTCTGGCGAAAGAAAATTACTGAAATACGCAGGAAAGCGTCCATGAGGGATCTACTTATGGTTATGCAAGCTTCCATGCATGGCGGTTTACCTCGCAAGGACGCACGTGCGTCCGTTCACTACCGTTCGAATACCATCGAGAGCAAGTCGACCGTAGAAGCCGAGATAGTGGCTCATCGTGTTTTCCAAGAAGGAGAAAGACCTGCTCCTTGTCTGGCGACAGCGACATTTGCCGTGACTTTATGGCTTTCGAGTCCGAAATCCAAAGGATCCTCGAATAATTAAAAAAACTGATCATAAATTGGAACCGGGTTTCTTTATATTAGCTTATATTGGAATCCTTCTCAAAATTCTGCGATGATTTATTCGAAGTTCTTTAGGTGTAATTTTTAAGCGAAAGTGCATTATGCCAAGTTCATTGGAGACACCAGAAAACAATTCAATGGCTAAGCTTTATAGCTTAACACTAAACCTACCAAGCAATAATACTAACTGGCATATAATGCTTCACAAAAGTGAGAAGACCGAATTTATTTCGAATTTGTAAAGTTTTTATTATAAAACTTGCTCCAATAATATAACTTATTCAAGCGTTTTCCACGAAAGCGTCTCGGAACTTTGCAGAATTGCAAAATAAGAAAGCGGTCACTTTGACCGCGGTAGGTTTAGTGTTAACGTATACATTTATGCTTATGCTTGTTTTATGTTTATGCTTGATTTGCTAGAATCAGGAGAGACCCCAGAGCAACATTAAACGAATTATAACAGAATTATTTGAGTCTCGTTCATTTAAAAATATTAAAATATTATTTGCACTATAAAACATGCATCGATTGTTATTCAAATAATTAAATTATCTGGAAATTTGGAATGTGAAACAGCAAATAAAACGTTGTCAATATGGCAGCATAGAATAAACCAGATTACCTATAACCCAGACGTGAGAGCCAAGAAAATAAATACGTTAGATAAATTATTCGATCAAAATGCTTGTCACACGTGCCAACGAACCAAGTTCGGAACCAAATAAAATTTGAATCGATATCCAATCTGTACGTCGGCTCAAATCAGATCTCCACCGTGGGAACAGGTGTCACGGCAAAAATAGCTGTCCCCGAAAAAGGTCACCGATAAGAGACCATGTAGTTTTTCGAATTACCTGTACGAGTGCTTCATCCGTGACATTTGTCAATTATCAAACGAAATCGGTTGTTCAAAGGAACATTTACAGCGTGTGTTCACTTTCAAACAAATAACACCTCTAACAGGTGGAATCACCGATCGTTCGACAATGGAAATAAATTTAAGCGCGACAACTCGATTTCTCGTACAAATCGAGAATTCGCTGTTTCGATTAGCCGCTGGAACACGTTTCAAAATTGTAAAAACAATGAACAGATAAAATTCGCGGGAAATCCGACCGCATCCACCGAGCTAGGTATCGATTTCTTTACGTTACCGACCGAGGTGTGTTGTTTGGAGGCAAGCGTCCCCTGTTCGAAACTTAACCTGTCACTTTCCACGCACTTTTCTCGTGTCCGAGGTTTTACGAGACACGATCGTAGGAACAGAGGCTTTTAGGAGCCGTCGATGCGCGTGTTTCGTACGCAAAACGGATTCCTGTCACGTCGATCGACACTGTTTCCCTCGAAACACTCCATGATCGTCCACCGTCAGCCTCGAGTCGCCGCTGCTTTTTCTTCTCGTTGGTACTCTTGTCGTACGTACAATTACCGCAAACTTTTTGCACAGAACGACGCCGATCGACGGGACACGGCTGTCGCATTTTTCACGGGCACTGTTCGAGACGATTTCACTGTGCAAACGCGATTTTTGTGCGCAGAGCGGCGACAACGATGTGCCATTGCTGGCGGGTACACATGGAACGCGACCCTTCCGGCGTGCAGCCGAACAAACAGCTGCCGTCTACCCCCACCACGCGGACGCCCCCATCGTTCTAGCTAGCGATAGGCTTAAATGTATCGCGAACTCAATCAAACGCGATCGCTGATCAAATAATTAGCCGTGCGAACAACTGTATGGTAAAACCTCGTAGGCCTCTGTTTAATTAAACAGAATTCTGTCGAGCTGTTTCTGTGCAGTTCAGGCGGTCAATACGACTGGACACAGCGTTGTCATCCTGGCCAGCGATGGGTTCGAATGTATTGCGAACGCAAACAAATGTGATGACTGGTAAAATAATTTGACACGTGTTCACATCGATTCACAGATACGTGATTGGTGTAATTAATGAGTTTATCCTCGCTGTTCTAGCTAGCGATGGCTTCGAATGTATCGCGAACGTGGACCAAATGGTACGTTCGATTAAATAATTTAACGCGTGTAAATATGTATTAATATGTTATTTGATTTGTGTAATTAATACATAGTGAAACACGTTTGCCGTTTTTGCTATCGTCAGCCTCGCATTTATTGAAATTATCTGAATCGATGTATGCGTAATTAACGTAATTGAAGCTCGTCCAAATGAAACATTATCGCATGTCGCGATGGATTAAAGTAGCCTCCGAGAAAAAAATGGGAGCAATGTGCAATAAAATCGATTGACACGTGCGAATATGTAACCGACCAGGTTATAATTAATTTTAATTGATTTCTCGTTAAACATGTAATCGTTGTAATGAAATCTTGCGCATACCAGCACATCAATTTAGCCGTTGATCGATTTTACTGTGTTCGGAACACAGTGAAAGAGATACAATGTCCACTAAAATAATTTCCCGCGTGTGTAATGTGGATATAATGAATGTAAAGCTCGTTCGACGAGTGAGCTATTAATTAAAATTAATTCAATCGATAAATGTGGAACGAACGTGATTTATACGTCCGTAAATGATCAAATTTCATCGAGCGACGGAGCCGAACAAACCGTGTACAATAAAATGAGAATGGCAAAACTGAACGATCATCGTTTAATGAATAGAATTATCGTTCGACCGCATCCCTAATTCAGGCTTCTCACTTCCTCGCCAATTATTTCCAATTTACTACAATTAATTCGACATTACCGCATCCTCGATATCTACAGTTTTCATTTTTAATCAAATTACAAACAACGGTTTCGAGGTGTCATTCAGCGTTGCCGTTGTTATTAATCCAGCGAAAATTTCGTTAACGAAACCACCGTTAATATTGATTTCATTTCCTCGGCGTGACCGCAGTTTTTCCATTCTCGCCCGATAAAGTTCGCCAGGCATGATTTATCGTCTTTCATGTTCACCAGAAATTCGACGGATAACTGTCGCCGTTATTACGCGAAATAACGAACAAAGGGGAGGGGAGAGAGTGGTCGATCGAATTTTTGCCCAGGTAAAAAGTGCACTCGCCTGCGGAAACAATATTTCCAGCGTCAATATTTGCGCAGAGCTTTCTAACGTTTGCCGGCGGCTGATTGGACATATGTTTCTCGTATTGGCAGGCATGGTCACCTTCGCCATTTCGGATTATCGTGTGTCTGGTCGTAGACGAGATTATCCCATCATTATTAACATTACAGACGCTTTCGATAATTTCCTCGGCTAGAAAAATGTCCCGCGAAATTCTGTTCCAGTCCTTCGGCGTTCACAGCAGAAAATTATTTCTGCTATTTACAGACGATGGTAACACCTCGAGAAGTAATCAAGAACAACCACCCTTCCGCAAACGAGCCCCAAGTAAGACAATTCATTTCGACTATTTGGAAATGATTCGACAATAGCAAACAGCTCCAAAAATAATCAAGATCAACCACCTCCTCCGCAAACTGCATCGCAAGCTCCGGTCATTCGAAGAAAATTACTTTTGCCACCCTTCATACTCTCCATAATCTCCCTGGAGGCCAAACATGCTTCCGAGCGTGGCCGTGAAGGAGCGTGAAAGTTCACGCGATCTTTGGAAAGGTCGTCGAGTTCCCGGAGCTCGTAAATTTTCTAAACTTGGTAAATTCCCAACGAAATAGATGTGCAACCGCAAAATTAACGAAGTGCAGCTACGAACGTGAAAGAAATCAAGATCATCTAGCCTCTGTAGAAGACATTTCTGGACTGCGAATTTTCATGCAATATATAAATGTACCGCGACTGTTGTAAAACGCGAATGTCTTCCTTTGTTTAACAATTTTATTGGAACGAAAATGACCGATCGATGCTCCTCGATTCCGGCAATTTTCCTAATTTTCTCAAATTGCGGCTACTCGTTGTTGTCGTAAGTGTGTTAAAAGCCACAGTCCGGTCGTTCACGATTCCTAAATTAGGTAATGCTCTTACCGTGTAATTCGATAGCTTATTGGCGGAAGTTTGTGCAATAAAAGATCGAATTGCCGCGACTGGAATATTCGTGTCGAGAAGTCGCCTCTCCGCCCAGGCTCTGCCCACTGCAGACGCTATTACTTTTTATTGCACAATAGCGCCGACAGACTCTCCGTGAATGGGCCCATTATTCCTCGGCGACTCGGCTCAGGTATTCCAGGTAACTTTTCCCCTGGACCGAAAGGAAAATGAGGGTCGGCGGGGCCGCTTACCGTGATTCCTGCACTTCGCGCGGAGAGCGCCGGATAGACGGGACTCCATAAATCCCGGTTCGGTAGCGCCGGTGCTTTCCGGTGCGACCGCGCACGTGTCGGCATTTCCCCCAGATTTTTTACGGGCCGAATGCTAATTCGTTATCTCCCCGAAAGCATTCCTTGATTTCCCGAGCGTTCACCCGCGGCCGCGCGCACGAGTGAAACTCGCCGAAGAAACCGCGCGCGCCATTGTTCGATGAGAAATTGAATCTCCAGTGGTCTGAATGCGCGGAGAACAATGCGATCCCGCGAGCCCGTATTCGCGCCGATTAGGATCAAAGATTCACGGGACACCTTGCGATTTACTCGTTGGGAATTTACGACGATCCCTTTCTCAGAACCAGCCCGTCGATTGTGTCTCATTTCATGCACCTCGCGCTCGAGATGTCGAGAATTCCATTCACTCCTTGCCATACCTTGACGAGTCCGACTCGTAATAACCTGTCAACTGTGAATCCCATTCCGTTCCTCGAAGTCGGATGAAAGATTCTGTTCTCTTGTCGTCGATGTTCAATTCTTTATACTCGAGCGGCGAGTCTGAGACGTCGTTAAAAATTATAGCATAATTCGCAAACGAATTTGCGTTCTTGTATTTCTTCAATTGATAGATGTGGTTTGAACTTGAATGTAGTATTAACACTATGCCGTCCGCAGATCTCAGATATGATTCTTTCGTTTGACGCCGGCATAATAGTTTGGAAATTTTAGATTTAAAAAAAAATTTCGAAGATGGCGGAAATATAAATTCCTAAAATTAAGATACGACGTCCAAGAATTTTCGTACTTAATTCTTAGTTAAATAAGCACAATGCTATAGTTAGTTTGCTGCCTTTCAACACCCAAGAAATATAGTTCAAATGTTATCTCAGTTTTTTAAAATGCCACCGAAGTGGTACCACCGGCATACAACAGATAGTTTTTGCATGGCACCAGCGTGGTGCCACCGGACGGCATAGTGTTAATAAATGCACTTAATTTCATACTGTAAACGAGATGAAAACAATGTGACAGGTGATGAAGATATTCTCACACGAACAAACAACATTGAATCGGAAAAAATGTCTGCGTCGATTAAATAAATTCGAGTGCGAAGGGCTAATCATTCGGGCAAATGTAGGCACGCGACAAATACAAATTTCCTTCTTCTTCCAACGAATGATTCTAATCGGAAACAGTTCTGATCGATTGCGACGGTAATGGCGCGGCAAGGGGCTAAAAGCACTGGAACGAGTAGTAACGCTGACGAAATGGCGAACGATTAATTCGGCNGACGCCGGCATAATAGTTTGGAAATTTTAGATTTAAAAAAAAATTTCGAAGATGGCGGAAATATAAATTCCTAAAATTAAGATACGACGTCCAAGAATTTTCGTACTTAATTCTTAGTTAAATAAGCACAATGCTATAGTTAGTTTGCTGCCTTTCAACACCCAAGAAATATAGTTCAAATGTTATCTCAGTTTTTTAAAATGCCACCGAAGTGGTACCACCGGCATACAACAGATAGTTTTTGCATGGCACCAGCGTGGTGCCACCGGACGGCATAGTGTTAATAAATGCACTTAATTTCATACTGTAAACGAGATGAAAACAATGTGACAGGTGATGAAGATATTCTCACACGAACAAACAACATTGAATCGGAAAAAATGTCTGCGTCGATTAAATAAATTCGAGTGCGAAGGGCTAATCATTCGGGCAAATGTAGGCACGCGACAAATACAAATTTCCTTCTTCTTCCAACGAATGATTCTAATCGGAAACAGTTCTGATCGATTGCGACGGTAATGGCGCGGCAAGGGGCTAAAAGCACTGGAACGAGTAGTAACGCTGACGAAATGGCGAACGATTAATTCGGCAAGAGGGCCGTATTGGGCAGAGAGCCCATCGCGTTCCCATTAAAGAAACGAATCGCTGCCAGTAATTAGCTGACCGCGCGCGCGTAAATCGACTCGAGTTTCAATTTCCCAGGAAATCATTTTCTCCGATTCGTTCGGCGTATCGGCGGCTTAACGAGCCCTTATCAACGTCGGCTAGGATTCTCTCTCGGCTACGAGTTTCCTTGAAGCGAGACGCGTACAACGGACGCGCGAAGAGGAACCTCCCACGTAAATACGCGGAGCTAGTAAACCGCGAATACATCTCGAAAATGTTCCCCGTGCAATGTTAATGAAACATTCACGGGCTCGAGGGCCGCGATTTGTTCTCACGCAGGCCGTTGCAGCTCGTTACAATTTCATTTTCCTCTTGCATCCGTGACGCATCCCCGCGAGAAACTTTCCCATAATACGCTTGGAAAAAGCTCCGTCCAATTTTTTAATACCGAAAATTTCAT